AAACCTGGGTTTGATTCCCAGCAGGGCGAAATTTTAGACTTTTCTTAATGGAAAACTTTCCCAAAGTAGGCACCTATTTACCTCACAGTAAGTAGAAGCTGGATGTTAGTCGACTAGCAGATTGCTTTTCCAGGGGTAATAATTCCTTCATAAAAAAATAATAAATTGGTCACTTAATCCATGACTGTTTGTGGGACACTACTGTGCACAATTTGCTACTGCGTTTCACCCACAAAATATAGTGAATTCACTTTGCAGTATTTTCTGTGAAGATGTCTCAAAGATGTGATAAGGCGTTAAATCAAATGCAAGGATTATTATTGTTCTCCATGACCAATAGACTTTAGCTCCATTATCAGATCAAAATTATTGCAGACTTATGACATTTCCACATCGGCTATGCTTCTGACCTAACTAATTGAGCGTGTAATTACAGATTTATTCTAATTTTGAATTTGCTCTATTCCCCTGAAGATATTTGTCTCCTATTTCCACAAAAGATTTAATTCTACTGTATTCTAGTACTTAAGTGGTTACAGTTAATATGTGAGCTTTAATAGCGAGTGTCAGCAAGATATTTGACATGGGATAATCGTGGGATAACCCGTTCTTGTCCTCACTGGTACCCACATGATGCAAAGTGTTCTCTCACTTGGGGCTAATTGGTAGTCTGTATCTGTTTTGGTTGTCCAGTTCCCAAGCTCAGCAGGTCCACAGTACTCTTGGGCACCGCTGATGGCAGCTTAGCCATCATGGCTCATCGGGAGGACTTGGAAGAGCATCCAATCACTGAGGGCAGGGAGGTCCCACTCATCTCATGTTAACTCTACAAGCCAAAACCTTGACAGGTAGGGTGATATAAGCTGGACAAGCAGCAGGAAAGCTTGCCAGGAAGTGCTTTCAATGGCATTAGATAAGCAGGATGCATCCCTCTAGGAAGAGAATGCACACTGCATTCCAACAACAACCTGCATTTATAGAGCGCCCCTCACGCAGGATAGTATCCCAAAGCCCTTGACAGTGGAAGAGCATGACATCGAACCAGAAGAGGTGACTGTTGTCACGGTTGAACAGGAAGGTCTTCAGGCACAACCTGAAAATGGGGAAGGAAGGGGCAAGGTGGAGGGATAGAGGTATTCCAGAGTTTGGGGGCGCAGCCACCAATGGTAGAATGGAGGGCACTTTCCTCGCAGCCTTCCCTGCTACTTGTCCGCCTAGTGCCACCCCACCTGTCAGGGCTCTGGTTTGCAGAGTTAAAATTCCAATAAACATCTCAGGGAATTTCCACATTCCGGTGGGATGCATGGAACTGTTTGTTTTGGATACTCTTAAACACGGTGATGGGTTTCCGCAGAAGTCAGGCACCCAACAGACCCCAAAAAAGCCATTTTGAACAAGACTAGTACCTCTTTTGCTGAGATCATTTATATCAGCACAAAGAGGTGGATGCTGACCAAGGAGCGACTCTGGCACCAAACTAGTCTGTATGGTTCAACTGAATAAAATTACTGAGCAAGGTTTTTTTAAATCTCAAAGCTAACATACATGTCCAACTGGGTTATGACTGCCTGTTCAAATTGTTTTATTGAGGTCAATGGTCAGAGATGAAACTTAAATGCTATTTATATTATTATATTATTATCAATGGATCAGTGTTAATCAATAGGTGGCACTCTCTCGCTTGGGTCAAACCCCACATCAGGCCTTAAGGTCATCATCTACACGGATTCTCTGGTGCAGTACTGGAGGAGTGCTTTCAGATGAGAGTTTAAACCAAGATCATGTGCCTGTTTTCAGATAGACATTAAAAAAATCTCATGACAGTGGCTAAAAAATTTTTTATTATTATTTCTTCTTAACAACAACAACAAGATTCCATTTATAAAGCGCCTTTCACGTCAGGAGGACGTCCCAAGGCGCTGGGACGTCTTAAGTTCTGGCCAGAATAATTGATCATTCAAATCATGGATGTTTGTGGAATTTTGTGTGCAAATAGCTGTCATCTTGCCTATTCTTTATAGTAAATTATTTGTGAAACACTTTGAAACATCTCAACATCAAACCACAATTTGTTCTTTATCAGCCTTGGCAGAATGAATTGCAGTCCTTGACCTAAAAGATCAAAGGACAGCACTTCTACTCATTGCATCACAGAACCCTTTTTAAATTGATTTTATTAAAACATGAAGTTCAGTTCTGTTATGAAACAAACAACAACATTCCAGCTAACCTTAAACACAGTGAAAGGGGCTAAGATGGTTCATTCTTGGAGGCCAATTAGTTATGCACAAAACTTAAATGAGTTTAGCATGAAAACCCATGATCCACCCCCTTATGTCCTGACTTTGAGCTGCATTACTACAGAGCAACCACTCAGCTTTTGTACTGAACAAAAAGTTATCCAACTACAGACATGCAATAGAATCGCATCATCCGATAGGTTCTGAATACAATGCAAACACAGCAGAGCATATGTTTGTGCCAACTGCAAACAAGTAAGGCTTCAGACGCAACCTTTGCCCAGTGAAGAAATACTGCTCTAGATAATGTACAAAAGATAGATGAGTGATTTTTCAGTATAATAAAGATCTCCCAGACAGTTTGCTGGGCTAAAAGTTCATGTATTAGCATTGTGGATTTAAATTTTAAATTGACCATTGCAGACAGCTTCATGTAAAGTACACAATTTTTATTGACAGCAACCCAATGCTCTTTATATTGCTGAAACTAGTTCACTGCGGATTTATTAGCAGTGAATTTTGAAATAAATTCCTGATTCAATCTGGGTAAGATCCAACTCCATAGTTTACAAATATATGATTACAAACCCTACAGTGCCCTTGTACCTCCCTACCTCTCTGACCTGCTTACTCCCCAACCCAGTACCCACTGTCTCCACTTGACTGGCTTCGACTTCCTGTATGTCCCTCGTGCCCTCCGTTCCACCATCGGTTTCTGCGCTTTCAGCCACTATGCCGGGAACTCCAGAACCACTCTTTCCTTGCACCTTGCCCCTCTTCAGATCGCACCTAAAGATTAATCTCTCCAACCGAGCCTACGCTCATCTCCCCACTCGGTGTCAATTTCCGCCATTGTCAAGCACTCTGGGATGCTACCCTGCACGAGGGGCGCTACATAAATGCAAGTTGTTGTCGTTGTTACAGTAAAAGCAACAAAATGTGCCTTACCTATTAAAATGTGCTGGCTATGAAGCATGGGAATAATGGTTTCTGAAATGGGGAGATTTTATACCAAAGGAATAAATGCTAATAAAAATAAATGATAATAATCCTTACATTTGGTATAACATCTTTCACATTAGAAGGACATCCCAAAGCGCTTCATAGGATACACTTTAAAGTGTAGAGACTTTGTTGTTTGTGAGCAAACTGTTAACTTTGATACCAACAACTTCCATTTATATAGCTCTTCACACATAGAGTAACGTCACAGTGGGTTCGCTTTATATAGTACACGGATAATACAGTATACCATATGTTACTTGTTAGCTTAAATCGATGCACTTTGTGAGATACTCTGGATTTATCATCCCCAAAAAGAACCATTTATTTTTAGTTCGTATTCCTCTAAGTTCTTCCAGAATCAAAAAAAAAACTATTTCTACTCAAGGGCGTTTTTTCACATTTCAAATTGACACACTACCAAGATTTCACACGCAAATCTTTACGGTTTCATTAAAACCGCAGCAACAAAATAAGCTGCAACATTTTTATACAGTCGACCAGATACCCAAACCATCATCCTACGGATTACATTGAATCTGTAAATCCATCGAACCAATTATTTATGATCTTGCACCAAAACTTTTACCAGGTTTGTACACGGTGCAACTAAAGGGGGAGAACCAGACCGGGTGAATCCAAGAACCAACAGACAAACAAAAAACATAGAACTTTATGAGCGTCTTCGGCTCTGGTCACCTTAACAACGTCTCAAGCGCGTTTTCCACACAATTTTTGCGCTCCTGTTTTGCTGTGACGATGACGCTGCTGTGCCGCGTTACGGGAAGACATGAAAAGTAACTGACCCACGTTTTAAGTATACTTATAAGTCCTTCACTTAGCGCACGGCTGAGATGAATCGAACCCAACCACACGACCCCTGCACCGCTCATCTCTCCGGGTGCAATATTGAAATATTTGCGTTTTGCCCGGAAAAAAGTTGCAATCGTTATCTTTTTTTTTGCAAAAAAAAATAAAAAAATCCCGACTGGTGGTTGCGGTATTCCCGGGAGGGGGTGAGGGGGGGGGAGGGGAGGGAGGGGAGGGAGGGGGGGGGGGGGGGGAGGGGGGGGGGGGGGGGGGGGGGTCGGGGGGGGGGGAGGGGGGGGTCGGATCCGGATGGCAACAAACCGCAACTTCGCTGAAATCCCAAAGCGACATGAAAACGTTGCAAAAAAGGCACCGCTTTCGTAACACGGGACACACTGAGCAAACACCACACGCTCCTCACTTTCGGGAAACTTACCAGCGCAGGACTTGGGAGGGAGACGGACGGACGGACAGACAGACAGAGACAGACGGACCGACGGACCGACAGACGGCGGTGCAGCAAAATGACCTGAAAAAAAAACCTGTCACCCATTCGGGACCGGCGCCACCGCAATGGGTATTTTCGCGCGTAGTGAAAACCAATAACGCCCACGAACGGCGCAAAACACCACGAACTGTCACTCCGGAAACCGGGAGCCACGTCGGGGCTCTTGACTTCCATGAATTGTACTGGAAGTGGGAGAGAGAGAGAGAGAGAGACACACACACACACACACACGAGAGCAGTGACCAAGGCACGGACCGGGCAGTCGGCGAGTCTCGCAGTGCAGTGCAGGGCAGTGCAGGGCAGTGCAGGTCGGGGGTCGGCGCGAAACCACCGTATATTTTAAAGGGAGCAGTAGTTTTTTTTTAAAAAAAAACCCAACACAAACGCGCAACACCTGGAGGCGGTGCACATGGAGCGATCAGTCAGAGAGACGAACTTACTGGTCTCGGGGTTGCTCTTCCCTCGCTGTGTGCTGTGCTGCTCTGTGCTGTGAGGGGGAGGAGGGAGGGAGAGAGGGAGGGAGGGGGCAGCAGACATGCCCCCCGGCTCTGGCCCCGGCTCTGGTCTTGGCTCCGGCTCCGGATGGTCTGTGTGAGCGCAGCTCCGCTACATTGCACAATGCACCCACTTTCTCACGGCGCTGACCATCACGTCATCGTTTTCCCGAGCGGAAGCGGAAATCCCGGTCCGCGCGGGGCTCGCCGGGACTTGCAGTTTCTTACGGGGGGGTTGTTTTTTTTAAAGAAATCTCCGCCCGGCGCAGGCGCGCCTGCGCTCTCAGTTGCTGGATTGCCCGGTACAGAGCTGTACCCACTGCAGCTGCACTTGCAACCAAAGGATCCAATATGCAATGTAGATTTCAGTGATACCACTCACAAACCATTTAACATGCCATAAACACTCTGAAGCAAAACTGCCATACGTGTGTGATGATCTTGTTCAGGTCATAGTTCATCAACGATAGGAGACCGCCCCAAAAATATGCCCGTGACACTCCCCAGCCCCCACCACCGCACCGCAAGACCTTTCCGATGAGGTATAAATCATGACTCTACGTCAATCAGTTACTGCGTTATTGGCGGACAGAAAGACATACAGACATTTTATCTTTATTAATTTATTAATATAAATTACCATGGTAACAGCTGCTCCCTAATGGTTTAGTTCGTATGTTTACTAACCAAGTGTTACTTCAGTCCCTAGTTAGATTGTTTATTGCCTTGGGATGTCCTCCTGACGTAGAACGGGCTATACAAACGTAATTTTGTTGTTGTTGTACTCAAAAGTACTGAAATTCAATCTTACTGAGTCCCAAATGACTTTTGTTTAAAGTAATAATATAATAATCTTTGCATTTGATATAGCACCTTATCACGTCTTCAGGATATCGCAAAGCGCTTCACAGAATATACTGTAAAATTGAATTGACTATATTTTGTGAGCGAAACGCGGCAGCCAATTGCACACAGCCGTGTCCCACAAACAGTCGTGGATTGAGTGTCCAATTGTTTTTTACAATCTACCGTGTTCCCTTTTCTCCCACTATCTTTAATGTTTTAAAGAGAAGTATTGTATCATTGTACTTACCAGGGTGTCTCAGCTACTTTACTTGCTCTGTTTTGTCCTACAGGACCTCCGGTGAAATCCGTCTGATCAAAACCGCCAGTTCAGCGGAAGCATTTTGTGTAGAACTTCTCTTCACGTGACATCACAAGCACTGATTCATGGAAACACAGGAGGAGAACCTTCTGATATCACGTAAGATAAGTTCAGTTTGTTTCCTCTCACGAGCAGGTCAAAAGCAAGACAACAGTTGGGGAGGGGAACTGAGAAACACGGATAACGTACCGGTCACACATACCCACCTGAGCAAGCATGTTTTTAACATTTATGATATAACAATTCTCATATGTCTTCTCTCAACCCCTTTACATTGATATTTTATGCTTCTACTCCTTACTTCTAATTGTAACACCAGTTGCAACCTCTGGAGTAGCTACATGAAATTTCAAAATTCAAGCAGAGCACTCAAGGAAGAGAAATTGCTTTCAGGGAACAGAATGTTTACAAGATATAGTCAAAGAGATTAGTATTTCTGAAAACAAATATAACCTTAGACAATACATTATATTATACTATACTCAATTCCTATGGTACAGTTTTCTATAAAAAATATTTAGTGTGACAATAAAGCAGTGTGAAGTGTTCTCCAATATTGCTGTTGTAGCAGGTTGGGTGCAATGGTCTAAAAAGCAATATTTTCAAGATGGATTAGTTGCATTAATTGCAGTTTGCAAATATCAGATTAAAAGATTCACAAATGGTTAATTACAAATCTCAAGACATTGATCTATACAAACGTAATTTTGTTGTTGTTGTTTAAGGATATGCTATGAAACATTTCAAGCCTCATATTACTAAATTGTTTTATTTTGCTGTATCATTATTTTGTAAACCAAATGATAATGCATTTATTTCACATCTGTTACTATGTTATATAAACAATGTGTACTTTTCTGTCTCTTCTGAAATAGCTAAAGTCGGTTATAATTCTGTAGTGGATTGTACACTAACTGGGTAAAGTCTGGGAGGTGGTTGGTTTAACCTCGGATTTAGAAGATAATAATGAAGGAATGTTACACTTCAGGGATTGTGTCCCACAAACAGTCGTGGATTGAAGTGACCAATTTGTTATTATTTTTGGGGGAAGGAATTATTATTACTATTAATTATTGTCTACAGTCATAGATGACGGTGAAAGAAATTATATCTAGCAATACACCGTATGATGTAGTGCATCAGAACCCATGCAAACAGCAAGGATAAACATGCCATGCTTCAGGCCTAATACTGAGCTACATGCACTGATAAATGAAGGTGAGTCATCACCACATGAGCATTCGTTTAGAATAAAAGGCATTGTGGATTAGTTGAAGATCAACTGAACAGGTTAATGCAAGACTGAAGGCATTATGGAATTGTGTCACAAACAGAGAAGAAGTATATACAGAGGTCAGGTCAAAAAAGTCAGAATATCAGAGAAACAGTAAGACACCTATAGTGGTGTTGGTCAGCTGTACAATATGATAGACCAAGGATGAAGTCTTCATCTATGCTATATTTTTCTCTCTTTATTGGATAAATACAGTTCTGGATGAATGAATGAATGAATGAATGAATGAATGAATGAATGAATGAATGAATGAATGAATGAATGAATGACTACATCACAGTGTACCATGAAGGAAGTGATATCCAAATTTATACCCGATATACCTTGTAGAATCTTAAGAAGCTCTGGGATTTAGAAACCAAGTCTTCCTGCATGGAATAAAATATTAAAAGATATGGTAAGAAGGTGGGATTTGGGGAGAGCTTTATTATGTAGGCCATTGAATAGTCTTTGACAGAGTAAATTCAATGGGCCAAATTACCTTCTGCTATTCCTAATTTTGTATCTTCGGACGATGTCTGGCAGTGGATCTCTTTAAACAGCTCTGCATTTGAGGCAGGCAAATTATTATTATCTTGGAGAAAAACTGCCCTGTGATGAGAAAAAGGTTACCAGGATGCATAAACAAACCATTATTCTCACCTCAGCAATAGTAATATCTGCCATGAGAAAAATACACAACAAATAACAGATGTCAGAGCTAGACAACTGCCTGACGTTGGTTAACAAAGATGTAAAATAATAATAATCCTTGCATTTGATATAGCGCCCTATCATATCTTCGCAATGTCTCAAAGCGCTTCACAGAATATACTGTAAAGTGAATTGATTGTATATTTTGTGAGTGAAACCCGGCAGCCAATTGCGCACAGCAGTGTCTGATTGTCTGGACTGAAGTGACCAATTTTTTTTTGAAGGGAATAATCAGAAGAGAGGTGCTCTGCACAATAACACTTAAGGAATTATTATCCCCGGAAAAGCGATCCACCAATCGACTAACAGCCAGGTTTCGATCATTCACACAAAAAACAGAACTTCTCAATTGGATATGTAGGTTTTCATCAGTGGTATTAGAGCCACATCCAGATCCTCGGAAGATATACATAGGCATGGATGAGACATATAGATTTCTCATGAATAAAAAAATATACATAATGGGCATATATTTGCATTGACAATATTTGAAAATATATTATTCTGGATAACTAAATATGCAGCTGCCCCATTTTCATGATGTCATCTTTAGAGTGCTCAGCTTGAATGTTCTTGGTTGTGGGCAAGATTCAAATCCACAGATGACTTTTTAATCACGTAGAAAAAGACTATGTATATCACTAAATGAAAATGAATAACAGGGAAAATACACAGTACATAGATTTGTATTGATAGTGTTGTGTGACTGTGCTTAGCTAGGAAAATTACTTTTGAAGTAAAAGTTTCACAGCTAAGTTTAACTTGGACAAAACAGCATACCGTAAACTCTACACCCTGCTACACTTATTCAAAAGATTTCATTACTAACTACACACAGTACAGTTGTTATCAGTTTGCACCCAGTGATGATTCATTCACCTCTGTGCATCTGATTAAAGTACACATTAAATTCTAAAGTCAACTGTTTTGCAAATGTGGCAGATTTCAGATAATCAGTGTCTTGCAGCCAGCGTTGCTCTGGATATCATTGTAAACTGGTTACAAATGTGTTGATAGTCTACACTTTAACTAATACCTAAGTAACAATCTTAACATAATTGTATTATTCTCTCATCCTGATAAATCCAATCAGCCTGTTTCTGTGTTACAATCCCTGAAGAGTAACATTCCTTCATTATTATCTTCTAAATCTGAGGATAAACCAACTAACTCCCAGACTTTACCCAGTCAGTGTACAATCCACTCACAGAATTATAACCAACTTTAGCTATTTCAGAAGGGACAGAAATGTACACATTGTTTATGTAACATTGTGACAGATGTGAAATAAATGCACTATCATTTGGTTTACAAAATAATTATTGATTCAGCAAAATAAAACAATTTAGTAATGCAAGGCTTGAAATGTTTCACAGCATAGCCTTAAACAACAACAACAAAATCACATGTGTACGATCAATGTCTTAAAATGTATGTTTGGGTTCAATTTTGGATAATTCTTAAATTGAGCCATAATTTGGAAGCCATGTTAAAACTGCCTTCTAAATTAAGACTCAGCTGTTATGGAATTCTATTGGAAACTCACAAAGTAAATTTAGCCATCAGTTTGGTCCCTTCCACAGATCATGCCATATCCAAGCTCCTGAGAAGATATTCTTTCTGCTTTAAAAGGCAATCAAGCAAAAATTCAATATATTTTATAGCTTCCATTGTTAAATCATTTTTTTAAGCTAGAAATGTTCTATTTGAATAAAATATTATTTTCAAGCTATAACAGTTCTATTCAAATACTGTTCTGTTTGAACTGGCTCCCATCCCCCAGTGGATTGAGTTCAAGATCCTTGGAATCCCTCCACCGTATCCACTCACCTTCTCAAACCTTACAAACTTAACCACTCCCACTGCTCAGCAGGCACTGCCCTACCCATTCCACCAACCGTCAGGCTTTCAGCCTACCTGTCCCGACTCTCTAAACCTCCATTTCAGAGTCCTTCGAACTCCCACCTTCCCTTGCCTCCTTCAAGGTCCACCTCAAGATCTTCCTCTTTGACCGTGCCTTGAGAACTGGTCATCGGTCCCCCCGTGCCCCTCAGCGCCCACCCCAACTCGGGTGTAGACTTTACATTTTGGGATGTTCTCCCGACATAAAAGGCACTATATAATTTGTATTGTTGTTGTATTTCACATTGCAAACAACCATCTCTATCTAGGCATGTCTTGTCGCCTCTAAATCCAAAACAAAATTGGTCATTCACTTCAAGTCTGTTTATGGAATATTGCTGTGTACAAACTGACTGCCACGTTCGCCTACAAAAATACAGTCACCACTCTTTAGCGTATATCCTGTGAAGCGCTTTGACACTGGAAGTGCAAAACCTTCCAAATCCTAACTAACAGCAATATGCTGCTGACTTTTTCAGAAGTGCAACAGGTAGAAAGCTTCATTGTAGGCACTCGTTTACCAGATACAGTCACTACGCTTTACAATATATTCTGTGGTGTCTCATTTGAGACCTCCCAGCATGAAAGGCGCTATATCAAATACAAGACCAAGGCCTTCCTGATTGTCTCCCGTCAGCGCCTCTACACCTCAGGACCTGACAGCATCAGCATCCAAGGATGCACGCTCCACCTCACTGAGCCAGTCCAGAACCGTGGGGTCTTGTTTGACCCTAAACTATCCTTTCTACCCCACATCCATGGCATGACCTGCTCTGCCTTCCCCCACCTCTGCAACATCGCCCGGCTCTGCCACTGCCTCACCCCTCAGGCCGCCGAAACCCTCATCCACAATTCATCACGTCTAGGCTCAACTACGCCAACTCCCTACTTGTCGGCCTTTCCAACTCTTCCCTCTACAAGCTGCAAAACTCTGCAACTCGTGTTCGTTCCCACACCAGGCTCCGTGACCCCATCACCCCCACCTTTGCCCGGCTCCACTGGCTCCTCATCCCCCAGAGGATAGAGTTCAAAATCCTCATCCTCACCTTCAAGGCTCTCCACGGCCTTGCCCTTCCCTACTTCTGCGACCTGCTGACCCCATATCAACCTATCTTCTCCCTCCACTCAGCAGGCTCTGGCCTGCTCCATGTCCTCCACCAGGCCCGCCCCACCATCAGCAGCCGGGCCTTCAGCTTTTCTGCCCCTCCCTATTCCATCCCACGTTCCCTTCACCTTGCTCCTTCCCTTGCCTCCTTCAAGGAGCATCTCAAAACCCTCCTCTTTGACCGAGAACTTCGGCCACCCTCCCTGCCCTCCACCTTCCCGAGGGTCCAAATCCCAGACTGTCCAGCATCTTGGGACATTCTCCCGACGTGAAGGGGCTACACAAATGTAATTTTAATTGTATTGTTATTATCATCACCTTTTCTTTGTGCTTATAATGAAAACAATGGACTATTGCATTTGTTGAATAAATAAATGATGTAAATTAAAGAACCTGGAAGAGAAACTGTAACTAATAGCGAAACAAATCCACCAAACCCATGGAGGAGCAATTCACCAAGAATATGGGGAACTTGTGTCATATTGAAAAATACCATCACTTTTACATAGAATTACATAGAATATACAGGCCATTCGGCCCAACTGGTCTATGCCATCGTTTATGTTCCACATGAGCCTCCTTCTGCTCTTCCTCAACTAAGCCTATCAACATAACCTTCTATTCCTGTAACTCAGTGGTTAGAGCACTTGCCTTGCAAGCGAGAGATCTGCGTTCAATTCCAGGCAGGGCAAAACCTTGGGCAAGTTTCCTTACTCCACACGCCTGATAAGAAGTAATAAAATAATAAAATTGGTCACTTGAATGCACAACTGTTTGTGGAACATGGCTGTGTGCAATTGGCTGCCACGTATCACCCACAGATATAGTCAATTCACTTTCCAGTGTATTCTGTGAAGCGCTTTGAGATGTCTAGAACAACAACAAGATTACATTTGTATAGCGCCTTTCATGTCGGGAGGACGTCCCAAGGCACAGGACAGTGTACAGCATTTCAGACCCAAGCTGGGGTTAGGGGGGGAGAAGGGAGGGATGGGAAAAGGGGGGTGACCGATGGCATGGTCGAAGAGGAGGGTTCTGAGGCGAGACGTGAAGGAGGCTAAGGAGGGACGAGGCAGAGTGATTGCGAGATGGAATTCCAGAGGATGGGTCCAGAGTGGCTGAAAGCTAATGGTGGGGTGGGTGGGTCAGGGGACGTGGAGGGGGTCGGAGCTGGCTGAGCGGAGGAAGCGGGCGGGTTGGTAGGGGGTTAGGAGGTTGCAGAGGTAGGGTGCGGCGAGGCCATGGAGGGCTTTGTAGGTGAGGACCAGGATCTTGATCTGGATCCTCTGAAGGATAGGGAGCCAATGGAGTCGGGCGGGAATGGGGGAGATGGGGTCACAGGTTTGGTGCAGGAAAGGATACGGGCTGCAGAGTTCTGGATTCTCTGCAGCTTGTGGAGGGAGGAGATGGGAAGGCCGACAAGCAGGGCGTTTGCATAGTCGAGCCTGGAGGTGATGAAGGCATGAATAAGAGTTTCAGTGGCCTGAGGGGTGAGGTAGTGACGGAGTCGGACAATGTTACAGAGGTGAGGGAAAGCAGAGAGGGTCATGGCTTGGATGTGGGGAAGAACAGACAGTTGAGGGTCGAACAAGACACCTAGGTTCCTGACTGGCTTGGTGAGTTGAAGTGTGCAACCATGGAGGTTGATGTGTTAGAGCCTGAGGTGAAGAGGCGCTGGCGTGAGCCAATCAGGAGCGCCTCAGTCTTGTTTGCATTCAACTGTAGAAAATTTGCCCTCATCCAGGACTTGATGTCCGACAGGCAGTCTGTCAGCACAGCAGTGGTCCTGGAGTTGAGGGTGGAGGCAGAAAGATAGTTGGGTGTCATCCGCATACATATGGAAGTTGACCCCAAGTAAAAGCACTTTGAGATGTATTGATGACATGATAAGGCTCTATTCCAAAGGCAAAGATATTATTACTGTATTATAATGCAGATATGTACACCCATTCTAATTAATCACCATGTTAATAATCTACTAGCCACATTTTTGCATATGTACTCAGTACTTTTAAATGTTTAACTTCATTTGCATTCTTGTTCTGCTCCTTCTTGGCCTCCTTAATCCAAGGTAAGGGGTGAAATGAAAACAACTGTTTTAGAATTAAGAAATGTCATACCCAAACCATTAATAATTATTTCATTTGATATAGCACCTTATCAGGTCATTGAGTCATTTTGAAACCAAAAACAAATTGCACTTGTATAGTGCTTTTCAGGTCCGAGTCAAGGAATTTGGACAGGATATACTGTAAAGTGAATTGACTGTGTATTGTGAGTGAAACGCAGCAGACATTAATTGATCATTCCTTTTCCAATGCTGATCTGCTCGCTTGCATTTTCTACCCTGGTGTTTATACTTCTCAGAAGTCTGTGCGTGAAGATGACATGTGGATTGTCAGCATGTGGAAAAGTGGGGATCCACTCTCATTTCCTTTGGGGTGGAATGTGGAGGAGGAAGAAATCTCGTCAATCACATTGGGAAAACTCAAATTTTTCTTCAACAGTGATCTATAACATCCACCTGAATCATCAGAAAAAGCAGACTGGATGTCTATTTATCACCTTATCGAAAAGGATGCTCCCTACAATAATCCTTCAGTATTACTGCATAGGCTTTTATTCCAAGATTGAACCCATATATATCCTGTATATTTGTATATTGAACCGATATATATCCTGTGTATATATATATATCACAGTATATTCTGTGAAACGCTTTGGGACGTCTAGAAGACGTGAAAAGCGCTATATCAAATGCAAGGATCATTATTATTATTATTATCCTTCTGAACACCAGGAAAGAAAGCTGCTGGAGGTGAAGTAACCATAAAATAAAAAATAAATCCGAACTGCCACACAAAAAAAAACCCACACCAAAACCGTGAACAATGACTAAACGGGAACAGAAGCTGTTCGCCAACTTTTTCCGGGCACACTTTCCCCTCTGAAAAAAATACGTGAGGGTAAGTTTCGTGACAAGTCGAAACTTTTTAAAAAAAAATTCCTAAAAACTTGTTAATAATAATAATAATAATAAATAAAAAGGTAAAACCGTGCGAGTCAGTGGAACCCTCCCCCCCCCCACCCCATAACATCACGACCCAGAACAACATTAAAGTGACATCAACGAAGATACTCTGCGGGTCTTCCTGACAAAACGCATGACTTCCCACTGGGGAACGTGGTCACGGGAAAAGAATTGGGAAGGAGGGAGGGAAGTGGAGATGGGAGACAGGGGGAGGGGAGGGGGGGAGATCGCCTTTGTCAGCCACTCACAGCCCCGGAGGCGGGAGATCCCAAAAGAAACCCATTTCAAAAAATAACGGCCAATAGGGAGCGCAGGCGGCGCGCGGCCAATGGAGTGTCGTATAGTCTCACACGCGTCACAAAGGAGCCGGGCGGCGGCGCCCAATGAGAGGCCGCGGGGTGATGTGACGCCGGGAGCTGCGGCCAATGGGAGGCCTCCCCCTTGACGTCGCGGCTATCTGTGACGTCTATGAATAGTCGGAGCTGCGGCGGCGCCCGCCATATTGTTAGCGGGAGAGGAGAGAAACGCAGTCACGGCAATGAGTCGGTGGCTTTCCCTCTCTTCCCCACGCATTATGTCTCGATTCTCCGCGTAGCTAAGCCTTTAGACAACAACAAAAATAGTTTTTTTCTTTCGTTTGTTACACTCATTCGTTAAAAAAGGGGAGTTTTAAAAATATCTATTGTAGAAAAGATGGCGGAGGAAGCGGCAGCCAAGGCGGACGCCTGCAAAGAGTACCAGTCGTCGCTCGAAGATCTGACTTTCAACAGCAAACCTCACATCAACAACCTGACCATCCTGGCCGAAGAGAACCTGAAGTACTCGTCGGAAATCGTCAAGTTAATCGAAGCACAAATAACCAAGGTTTTTAAAACAGTTTTTTATTTTAATTTTGTTTTTTTTAAAAAGCCAAGTTAAATTCGGGGTTTTTTTTTAAAAGAAATATGAGGAGGATTTTTTTTTAAAAAAAAAGAGGTGTTTATTTCTAGCGGTGGGTTGGTTGGGGTTTTTTTTTTTGGGTCGTCGTTTGGGTGACTTTCCTCTTTCCTCCTCCCCACCCTCCTGTGCAGTAATGTGGTGAAAATGGCGGCTCTCAAACTGACTGACGCACAAGCACATGATGCGGCAGCCGCTGGTTGTGAGGTGACCCCGTTTGTTGTTTTCCTCCCTTTGACCGCCTTCCTCTGGTCGAAGGAAGTGGAACAACGAACCGCTCAGGCGGGCACTGTCTTCCCCCTCCCCCTCCCCCCCGCCCTTTTCAGCCTAAAGTGGGTCGATTGGCGGATTGCTTTTCCGGGGGTAATAATTCCTTCCAGACATGATTGTAAACAATTGATCACTTAATCCATGGCTGTTTGGGTCACTGCCTGTGCAATTGGCTGCCGAGTTCTGCCCAATTCACTTTACAGTATATTCTGTGAAGCACTTTGAGATGTCTGAAGGACGTGATAAGGCGCTATGTCAAATGTAGGCATTATTTTTGTTTTCTGCCCCACCTTCAGAATCCCCGACCTTCCCCATGCCCTCCATTTTTCTTGATTCCAACTCCTAGGTTGGGTGCGAAACCTCGGCTATCCAGCACCTTGGAACATCCATCTGATGTGAAAGATGATACATAATTGCATTTTATTGTTTGTTTGCCTTGTGCTCCTCTTTCCCAGGGAGCACGAGTCCAGAGCGCATGAGTGAAAGCCTCAACGTGGCCTCCCTCCCCCACCACCTCCAGCTGCTGGTTCAAGCTGTCCGGCGCCTTGTCATTTTCATTTAGAAAGAGAATTTTCTGGCTCTTTGCGGCTGTAATTTAATTTTTTTTAAACTAGGGATGTTAGCTGCAATACATGGTATGAGCCACGGAGCAGAGCAGACTACTGTTTTTGTGGCGGGTGGGGGCGCGGCTTTTAAGTAAATTGCTGCTGGATCCCCTTTGTTAGCCCACTTCAACCTCCCCAAAGTTTGCTTTTAACTGGAGGGTTTTAGGTTCCCGAGCTAGTGTGTGGTGCAAAGCATCTTAAATATGTGTAATTGGCTTGTTGCACTTCGAATGGAAATTCTGGTGTTATGTAAGGAGTCTGAGGGTGGAGATACTGGGAAACAGGACGCCATCTTGGGTGTGTTAAATGACTTCGTAATTTGTAGACTTTTGTTAAGCAACTTGCGCGTGTTTTTAAAACTGGACTATGATTTAAGATGTTTCATTTGTGGAATAAACTTTCAAATCTCCCCTCCCCCACCGCCTCCCCTGGAGTCCAATGCAAAGCCATGATGTCCCTTTTAAGCTAATGATTAATAAGTAGGGGGCTGCTTGAGCTTTTAACACATTTTTTGAATAAAGTCTACGTATTTTCTAGTTAAATGTGAAGTGCCGATGGTTAATTTCCCCCAAAATGTTAATGATTGGTACTGTGAAAAAAAATGTTAATAAAGGAAATGAAATACGTTCTTTTGTCTTATTTATTTCACAAAACTTGCAATGTCTGCCTTAGTGTTTTGATTGAAGTTCCGCTGAAGAGCATGTTTAGCACAACATGAAATCCTTATGGATAATTCAGGGGTTCAAGCAAAAATATTTCTGTTTCCTAAATTGTCTAAATTTAAAATTAGATTTGCAGTGTTTAATTTGGCTCTATTTAGATGTGTATTTTTCAATCCCCAAGGCTTTGATTTATTTGTGAAAATTAGCTTGGTGCTCTTTATAAGCCACATCCTCAGGCAAAACATTAATAAACGCATACTTTCCCCATACCATTAATGATTCCTTATATTGCAGTTTTTCCTATTGCAATACCACCTTTACTCAAGGGTTGCAATTTTCACAAAAGTAGCTTATATGTAGCAGTGTGTTAGGCAGCCTCTTTCAATTTAGTTTGTGGTATGGTCTATCTGGGATCAGATGTAGAAGGGATTTACTTAAATTACCATACTAGGAATTTAGCAGGGTTCTATATATTGAATGTACTTTATTACATTTTTAGGTCAATAGATTTTTGTGGGAGACAACTGCAAGTCTTTGGAATAGGTGAATTTAAAAAAATCAATCGGAGATCTGTAAACATATAAACTAATGAAACTGAAAATGCTGGAACTTAAACCATACAAGATGAAAGTTATCAATTAAAACATGCATTGATTAAAAAANTTAAAGAAAAGTGTAAAACCTTAAGGTTCCATAATTTTTTCATTTTATTGAGCTGTGCTGAATGTGTTCTTGGCTGTTTGAATTAGCAAAATTTTCTATAGCTGCAAAAGAAGGAAGACAACTTTCGAGCTTTTGGCCCCTTCAGAAATACTTGAACTGTGGCCTGAAATTTTGTTTCACATGCACCGCAGATATTTTCACAGGCGCCTTGATTTCATGAGATCCCAGATGTTGGCTATTTCCTCATGACAATGGGCAATCCAACTCCGGTTTTCGGTTGCCAATTGATAAAATTAAATGGTCATCCATTTTTCTTTATTACAAAATCACAAAAAGGTTGGTCAATATTCCATGACCAATTTGTCATTCGTGTAATAGCCTCATCCTACCTCATGGAATTATAATTAGTATTGTAATTATGATAGAAGCTAAGAGTTAATGAGAATCACGGGGTAATTGGAAGCCTTAAAGCCCAGTATTACAATTACACACTTCCAAGTTCATTTTAGATTTTTTGGTTAAATCAATCTCTGTGTGATTAAGTCAGCAGGTCTTATCTGCCTGTACATCATTAAATCCACACAATTAGCAATAATTAACCATAACTTAAGTGTATAACTTGGTAGTTCAAAGATTTGTTGCTGTTTGTTCATATTTTCTGTATAACAGTTTGTCAGATATAATCCATGGTCTTGTCATTAATACGGGCAAGTGTGCCACGTTTACAATTAATACCATTAAGCAAAACATAATGACAAAGAGGGTGCATTCACTTAAATACTCAATAAACCACCATTCTAATAATGGCCTATTAACAGTTTTACCTTGAGGATTGTATTGACTGACTTTTGAGGATCAAATTCAGCTTCAGGCAGCTGTTGCGCCTGTGGTCATACCGTTGATTTTTAAATCCAATTTAGGATACCATCAAATCCACAAAACATGATTAATAATGAAACTGCACTTTCTTTAGATTCCAATAATAGATGTGGGAGTCTAATTGGATATTGTTTTCCAGGAGCTCAGTTGGTCAAGTATTGAACTAGCCTGAAGACTTGAGAGAACCATCCTTTAACCTAGTATTTAACTGACTGAGATTTTATATTGGTCTAATCCATTCGACAGATGTTACAAATAAATCTGGATACCATGCAAATATGTACAATACTCAACAGAGGGTGTCCTATTCCTGTTCTCTAATCAAATGTAGATAACTAATCAGCCTTGGATATACAAGATGGTGGTGCTATTAAGGATTTATATTACTTATTATACATTTTAAGGGAACTTGTATCAGTTGAAGTAGGAATGTTGGAAGTTATGTCTGCAAGTTTGTGAAGGTAAATGGGAAGAATCTAGATTAACTAATTTAGTTAAGTGTTGCATCATTTGTCTCTGCATAGCTGTTATAATTCCACTTACTGACTTACCAATATTGGAATTAATTGGGGTAGGTGTGTTTCATTCTAGCAAAAAGTTCACAATCACATTGTTCAAAACACAATTGTTTTCTTTATTACACACCAACAAGTTTTTTTTAAATTACCCTAAAATGTAATGGCTGCAAGGCTATTCTAAAATATATTTGTGATAAGAAAGTAAGCTGGGTGATTAAATGCATTCTCAATAAAATGGTTTTGTTGACTTGGAATACACCTAGTCTGTGTAGGAGCAAGGTCCACATTGCTGATTATAATCAGCACTGCAAAATGAAAGAAGATTGATGCCAATCCTAAGCCTGTATTGCCCTGCAATTCTATTCTCAATGAAGCATTGAACATATAATATATTCATCTTCGAGGTCAGTATCAGAAATTCAAGAGGAAAGTGCTCAAGCTGCTTTGGTAATTTCAGCAGTTTGATATTTCTGCTTGATTCCTAATAAAAAATGGTGAAATTGTCTCAAACTGCCAATTTCATTTGATTTGCCGTTATTACTGTTGCAAAAGCCCAGACCAAACTTTTTTTTGTGTGGGAATGCATTGCAACTATAGCGATGCCCCACAAAAAAGATTAAGGTGACTGGTTGGATTTAATAATGAACAGATCAACATAAATATTGGTTACAACACTTGCATAATGTAGTGACCACACCTGATCCTAAAATTTGCTCCTCCAAGCAACACAGCACTCTTCAGTGTTGCATTGGAATGAACCTATAAGCAAGGCAAGAGTGCTCAAAACTGATGGCCTTGCTTTTGAGTCCACATAGACGAGTTGATGTGGCAGCAGTGTGCATGCAGGTTTGCACCGACAGTAACCTTTCCCAACTGCTGAGAAATGTAGCTAAAGACGTGAATGAAATGGAATCAAATCTGTAAGTACAGGTGATTTTTCAATTCCAGAGAAAGTTCAAGATAGAACAATTATGTTTTTTTGTTGTGGGGCAAATATCTAGCCTACAATCATTGGGAGTGCACAGGTATTGATCAAATACCATGGCAAGTGCCAGATAATAGTGATATGTAGTTTTCATGAGTGACTCTTTGACATAAAATCATTCTGGAATTTTTTTCATACATTGAGAGTACTTGTGACGCTGTATAATTCCGAACAACCCCCTAGTGTGAATTGCTTGACAAAGCTAACATTTTTCAGGATAAATTTAGATTCTGACCTATGCACATAATTCTAATTCATCTTAATTCTGTCCTTTTTTTAATTGATGGAGGAGTAAAACATATTGGTGGGTAACCAGTGACCAGTTTGATACTGGTAACTGTTGGGTGTGGAAGATAAACTATAGAACACTAAAAGTAAGCCATAAATAGGGCTTGCATGTATGGAAATAAATCCAGAATTCAATTTCTGGAAAAGATTGTTCTGATCCTGAATCATTATTCCGTAACAAATTCTGTAGAACAAAAAAAATGCAGTTGTGTTAACAAGTAGGCAACTTTATTATGGATTTGTTTCTATGAATGAATGCCTGTTGCTTTGGGTATTGAAATTTTCCCAGATGATATTGTATGTTTTTAAAGTTTGCTTCATGTCCTTTCACTAATGTTCTGAGTTTTCCTATTGCTACAGGCTTCTACTTCAGAGAAACTCCCTATAATGTACCTCATGGATTCCATTGTGAAGAATGTTGGAGGAAGCTATATATCGCTCTTTGCACAAAACATAGTTTCTACATTTGCTTGTGTTTTTGAAAAGGTACTTATAATTTTGTCACTGTAGAGTGAATCTGTATAATTGGATTTTGCAATGATCATGTTTGGAATAAACAATTTGTTGGCTTCATGCTGCACTATAGATCGAAGTTCTGTGCATTAATTGGCATCACACATTTTTTGTGGAGTCGTGACCTAGGAGACAGCTGTTTTATTTTCACTTGTATTTGATACTCAATGAAATTATTGGTCGAATCATGTTTCAGTATGAGTGGATTAAAATGGGATTGATTCCCCTCCCTTCTTAATCGTTTCTCATGTAATTAGATATTCAACTTGCAAATTTACCTGGTAGTAGTTTTACAAGTAAAATGTATCAGGTAAGGAACATTCAAAATATATATTGTATTCGGTTTAGTATATCTTGTAACACTGCATTGCTGCTGAAAGGTGTATTTGTTGGGCAGAAATCACAATCCTGGCAGTAGAAAAGGATCACAACACAAATTTATGTAAAATGTTTCGGGTCAGGAGGACTAGCTGGGGATGGGAACAGAAAGGGGTAGGGAGAAAGATGACCGAGAGCACAGAAAAAAAGAGGTAGGTCAATTTCAAAAGCTTCATAAATAATAATCCTTGCATTTTATACATGGATACTTGTTTCTCTAAGTAGATCACCAGGTATCATCAGTCCTTGGATACCTTTTCTTGGTCACTTATCTGTAAATTTTGCTGGCGAGTTTAGAAGGCTATTTGACTGGGGTGAAAATTATTGCAGTTGCACTATAATAAATGTAGGAACCCTGCATTTATTTTCTCTTCCCTCCAAACCAAGATGTGTATTGATATTCTTTCTAACTTCCTTGTCAGATAAATTGGCTCAGCATAATCTATTTAATTAATTAGAGTAGGTATTGAATAAGTTACTTCTATTCTGCCAATCCATGAGTAGATTTAATTATTTCCCATGGTTGACAAACCATTTTACTTTAAACTATCAACTGGACCACAAAGTAAATGAAAAACAGAATTTAGTTCCCTTGAGACATTTTATGTATACTTAATAAGAAAATTGTTCTATTTGAACCAAATGAGATGTTTTAAAAACTCAAACTGACATCTTGGTTTATTGTTAAATTTGTAATCTTGGATGTTGTTTTGTTGTAATTTAATCTTGTGGGTGGCCTGCATGATTTTTGCACTAAAGCCTCTTTCCAGTGTTGTGGTTACATCAAACGTAATACTTTCAATGTTATACCGGACTGGACTGGTCTCGACGTGCATGTAGAAAGGAGCTAGGTCAGCAGCAAAATTGTGTTCCATAATTCACCAATGACACATCCTCGGGGGTTAATGTTTGACTTTGGCGATGGCACAATACCAGTTTCAGAAGTAAACTCAAATCTGTTTTTTAAATCTTTATTAATATTTAAAATAAGGGATATTGATTGCATTGCATATATTTTGGATGATGCCCTTGAGCTATTCTCACCTTGGGTTTTTGAGCTGCATTGATCAAGGTTGCTCATGTCCAAGACCTTTGTTAATAATATTCAGACAAACGTGTAAAAAAAATGTGACAGCGTGGTCAAAGATGACATTTCTCTCTTCCCATGGTAGAATGTGCCCTTTGCACAACTTGTTTTCGTATTGAAAAATGGTGAACATTACTGTCAACTCAAATGATCAAGTCACAATTGCTGACTCGTAACACTAGCTATGTGCAAAAAATTAAAATTGATAAGAAAAGTTAAATGCTGTTCTTAAATTTTCCTCTTTTCCACAATGGAGAAATTAATGTTTACTAATGGTTCTCATGCCAATGCAAATTAATTTGAGTGCCTGGTAATGCTGGGCCCAATACCCGAGTCAGGGAATCTCAAAAATTAAATTACTGAGTTGTCCAAAGAAAAAAAAGGTTACTTGGTTGTGACCAGAATAATAATGTTACTTAGTAATGACTTGAACTTGCATAGTCTTAAGTTCACACACTAGTGCGGTGCAAGTACACAGTAAATCCACTTTACATTCGGTCACTTGAAGCAGTGTGGAACATCCTCCCAAAAGGAAAGACATAACAAATGCAAGGATTATTATATTTTGAAACTACACAGGTCAGGAAGGGATTTGTCATTCATTGTGAAGCAACAAAAAAGTTCTAACCATTTAAAGTTTTCGTTGCTAAATATCTCACCTTATCGATCTGCTTACTTTTGTAAACAATAGATTTGTCCATTCCTTGTGTACTGTACTTTATAACACTACATAAAGTTGGATGATTGTTTTGTTCTTAGGTGGATGAGAGCACTAGAAAAAGTTTGTTTAAATTACGTTCTACATGGGATGACATGTTTCCACTGAAGAGACTTTATGCCTTAGACGTGAAAGTCAACAAACTAGATCCTGCCTGGCCTATTAAGCCTTTACCGCCAAATGTGAACAGTTCAAGCATTCATGTAAATCCCAAGTTTTTAAACAGATCGGTAAGTATTACAGGAATCTCACCTCTGCTTTTATTAAGGAAAATGTGTAGCTAATGCTGCTCTTGTCTTCCAAGAGTTTTGTTAGTGTGCACTTACCAAAATTAAACTTCACGAGAGCAAATAAAGACCATTTTCAAAATGCTGTGGCGTTTCTCTTATTTGTTGTATTGCTTTTTGTACCAATTTCCTTATAAATGTAGAAAATCTTGGTCATAATTTCACTTTCTTCTTGCTCGTAGCTTGAAGAATCTGCCACCTCAAGTCCCACAGTTGTTACTCCTGTTAGCTCAGCTAAACACAATATTGCTGAGTCGCAGAAAAACGTAATACAGGAGCAGGAGCAGTTTATAAGACAACAACTGTTAGCAAAGCAAAAGCAGTTACTTGAGTTGCAACAGAAGAAGTTAGAGCTGGAATTAGAACAGACAAAGGCACAGCTGGTAAGTTGAAAGTACTGAAAACTAAATGTAATTGTCTGGAGGCAATTTCACAAATTGGGGTAAAGGGGTTGCAGATAGATAGATGGTTGTGTTACTCCCTCTGCACTTCAGTTGTGGTTATATCCAATACAATGTATTCATAATATTTGCAATAAATTGGCAGAATAATTGTATTTAAAAAATTACTGCAGGAGAAGATTTTGAAATCAATTATAGGCTGGGATATTGTCAAGAATTTGCTTACATCATTTGTGTTTGCAGATTTGACTACTCAAGTTTTGTTTGGTCTGTATTGATCTTTATGAGGATAAATGGCATGGAGATTCCCAATATTACAGTGATTCTAAAAACAAATTTTGAAACTGTTGTGAATAACTTACCTATCCTCTGTCTCTCCACCTCTTCCCGCACACACACAGCTCCAAAGATTGCTGCCTCTTTAATTGGTGTTTAGCTCCACATACAAGTGCTACCTTCTGCTACCTGAACCACAATGCTATTCATCATGGGAGAGCAGTGAGAAATTAAACCCCAGCCTGAATCTTGGCCTCCTACAGTAATTAAACTGCTACATTTTTCTAGTGGGGCTCACTTACATAGCAAGTTGAAGTGGTAATGTTATAGATTTCCTTTTTCCTACCCAGAAGCTACTTTTGGTTCCCCTCAACTGTTGACGTCACAGACCAAGAAATAAACAAGATCTGTTTCATACCTGGCAATGGCTTGATGTCTCAACAGTCGGGGAGACCGCTACAGATCTGATTTTGATCTTCTGCTTTCCATATGTAGGCATGAGTATGAGGAAGATTTACCAAATTAGGAACCAGGCAAACTAGTGAAGAATATTGGAGATTAGAGGAGGTTATAAAACTAGCCAAAATTAAGGTTAATGTACATACATTCTGAATTAAGTGGAAAGGAAGAACTGCTTTAACTGAAACTTTCCCAAGGAGTGGGACAATGCTGAGAATTGGGAGTGAAAATCTTTAGAAGCAGGCTGGCAAGAATAAACTTGGTTTTATATCCGGAGAACTGAAAAGAAAAAAACTACAGAACATTTGTTAGAGCGCAGCAACAATGTAGTTTTGAACATTGCAAAAGGAATTTCCGAACCGTAGAGATGATGCTGATTGACATGATGACGATGGGATTTTACAATTGGGGGATACCTGTCACAGCTTGGAAAAGGTGTCACATTTAATCTGAGTTTTTGATGAGATTTGTCTGAACTTTGCAGTATACATTGGGAAGAGAGAGGGACTGGCACTTTGAATATCGACTCTCCCATTGCATGTAACAAAAATTGTACACTCCAGATAGGGGCACATCATGGCAACAAAAAAGGCCATATTTCCTATAGCAAAACTAAATGTTTTACTTTAAAATGTTTCCTCTCATCCTTTTGCTGCTGTGAAATGTGTTGAAACGATGTCTGCATGGGTGCTCTTTAAATGAGAAACTCATAAGGTTTGTTTAATTCCCTATTTGGAGAATTGCTGACCAATTCCATTCTCTACAAAATGGTGAATTGCCTCTTAATGTCAACATTTGACATTGTTGCAGTTTTAGTCAAGCATTTGTTACTTGACACAACACATGTTCGCTATTTGATCTGCATTTTTAATATTTTTCCTCCAATTACCTCACTTCCTGAAGGTGGAGATTCATACAGCGGTACAGTTCTGTTATAGTGTATGTGTCAGCCTGGTTCACTCTCGCCCCGAGTCAGAAGGTTGTAGGTTTCAAGCCCCACGTCGGGACTTGGTATCACAGTCTGAACTGACACTCCAATGCAGTGCTGGGGGGTGTTGCATTGTCTTTCGGGTGAGGCATTAAACCGAGGTACCGCCTGCTGTTCAGGTAGATGTTAAAGATCATATGGCACTATTAAAAAAAATTATTATGAAAAGAAAAGGTAGTGTCCCCCAGGGTTCTGGCCAACAAATCCCCCAAATGAAATTTTTGTGGGATATTTTCCATGCGCAGTCATACACAATCTAGATACAGGAACTTATTTCTCCTAGTTAGTGTATTCAATATATACATAAGTAGGACTGCTTTCATCTAATGATGAAATCGCATGAGATATGGAATCTTTTAAAAATTCATATTTGGGCATCACGTCTGCTCTGTATATAATTTTTTATTTGTTCTCTTTTGCTTTTTTGTCCTATTTTCTCCCCCCATGTGCACTGTTTTTTCATTTTCTGGATATGGCTTCGCAGTCATCTTCCATTATTCATGTGTGAGCTTTGATATTGAAGGCTGACCGATTGAGAAAGAGGTTGAATCAAGTGCGAACTTGTCGTCACCTGACAGCACATGTACTTCCCCATCAGGGATCACTTGATAACAGCAGCTCTTCCTTAACGGGGAAGGGGATGACAAACCTAATTGAAATACCTCCATAGTTCAGCTGGCTACATACACATAGGACGAACCTTGGAGCTTTCTAATCTGTTGCCCTGGTATTCAGTGACTAACGTGGCTTGAAGTTCTTTGGCCAGCTTTGTTCAAAATGTCTGCAAATTTTCCACTGACTAAGGCATTGGACAACGTATAATAATCCTCCATACCAATAACAAAAACAGAAACCCCTGAGAACACTCAGCAAGTCAGGCAGCATCTATGGAGATTAACATTTCAGGTCGCTAACCCACTTTCCTCTCTCCATAGATGAAAGTCCATTCAAGGAGCTCTTTGAACCTTCAGCTAATTGGCAGAGTCAGAGTGCCTCTTCAGCATCTCAAATACAGTGTTACTGCGGCTGAGTTGACTCTTAAAAGATTTCCCCGAAGAAAGCATATTTGTTTAAACAAATATAATGTCTTCAGTTGTTTTATTTGTGGGGTCACTGTTTGAACTGCCATGCCATTATCAGTGGGCAAAGAATGGAATTGAGAACAGCCTTTAGTATCCCAGTTTAAATAGTGTCGGTTTCTAATTATCCATCCATTGCACGTTATCTTCCAGGTTTGTGCTTAGCCAAACTTCTGTTGAGGTGAACAGTTCTACCAGAAGAAGAGTTGAAATAACTAGGTATATCAGTTAGGCAGTTCTATTTGCAGAAATATCATTGAAGACAAAACAAAATAAATTAAACTCATCAAATTACAGCTATAGCCAGTGCACTGAGGTCTGCGCAGGATACTGGATTTTCGGCAAGTAACAACATTTCTGGCAAACGATCCTAGACAGGAAGTAGCTTCATTCTATGCTCAATATCTGGAAGCATCCAAGTAACTCCTTATTTTAGGAATGGAAGAAGACAATGCAAGCCTTTCCTGCCATTATGTTGGATCAGTGTCAATTTTTTAATTCCTTAATATCTTCACAAGTATCTAATTTTTGAATATTCTAATTGATCGTACATCAGACTTCCTGAGGCAGTGCATTTCACATTCTCACAGCCCTTTCGGTGAACAAATGTTTCTGATTTCACTTAAAGCTTTTAATTTAAAATTGTTTGCAAGTGGCAAGATTGTTTCCTCTATCTAGCTGGTCAATTCCCTTTACAGGCTAATTATAGTCATGTTCACTTTGAAGTCAGTTCAATACAAAGTTCAGTTTGGGTGGGCATCCCAAACTGAACTGGGGAAGAAGCAATGTAACACATGAGCAAGGTTGACTATATAGAATCATAGAAATTTACAGCATGGGAAGGACATTTGGCCCATCGATTCTGCACTGGCTTTCAGATACAGCTATACTTTCAAGCCTGCTGCCCTGCCCTATCCCCATACCCCATCAAGCCTCTAGCTTTATGCTATGTAGCACTATATATACTAAGCAGCACTTAAGTTTGTTTTAGTCTCAATATAGATTAGTGCAGTGGAAACCATTTTAGGGTCAACTTGCAAAGGTGGTCAGTTTTTTAAGTCTTTTTCACTATTAAATAGTATAACTAACCTCATAGGTGAGGTCAACCCATTGTCAATATTCTACAGTTCATTTCCTGATTTTAATTTACGAGTTTCCACTGTTAGGTGCAGGCTTGTTCTAATACAAAATTACATTTGTACAGCGCCTTTCATGTCGGAAGGATGTCCCAAGGCGCTGTCAGTCAGAGATTTGAACTCGAGCCAGATAGTAGTGGTCTGAAAGCAACCAGTTTTGTGCTCCACAATACACTGAGATGGCTCTGATTCATGTCAACTCAACTGACTCATAGGGTACAACTAAATAAAATAAATTATCTGAAACCATTTCTGCAAGTCTCTCTATGCACATACACACCTTCCATTACACATTAGTTGCGTGGAGAATATTCTTCATGTTCTTCTTTCATAGTCCCATCTCACAATTAACAGAGGACTACTTGATCTGGCCCATACTCGATTAGGATCTTCTGTCCATTGACTTCTAGTCCATATATATAGCTAGATTTAGCATTAATCCAGACAAATAAATTCCCCCCCCCCCCAGCTCAGGTGCAATATAAAATTGTATCGGGGCCGCAGGTGTTAATTTTTGCACTGTATGAATAAATGTAAATTTGTAGTGCATTGAGAGGCATTTGCATCTAATTTTTTAAGGAAATGTTATTCAGTGCTGTTGCTTTAGGGGTTTTGATGCTGCCTCCTCCAGCCAAAAAAGGTTGAGGAAAACTACCTTGGTTATCAAAAATGCAAATTTATTAAGTGTAACATTATTGGATTGATATTCTCGTTCTCTTTCTTACACCACCCCCTTGGCGTCGTTGCTGAAGTGTCTATTGAGGGTTAATTATAGAGATACTTGCTCTTCAATTCAACATTGTGTCATCTGCATCCTAGGGTTAAATGTAAAAGCTTATTCAGATTTAGATAAGTTGACCTCATTTTTTTCTTTTACTGTACTGTTAGTTTGTTTCAGGTGAATATGTTTGTAATTGGGCATTTGTTTTCTCTTTAGGTTGCTTCACTTGCCTCCCAGCAACCGGATCCAGGAGTAAGCCTAGGACATTCCAAACAACACGTACCAATTACCAAGGTCTCTCCTATGCTTTCATCGGTGACTGCAAAGCCCACTCCAGCTCCGATCAAACCTTTGCAGCAAACGTCAGCACAACCAGACAAATCTCAGTCTATGCATGCCCATGATACTAAAGTATCAAACCGAGACCCTCGCATCAATAGACTCAATCAACATTCAGCTCAGACAAAAGATCCTGCTAAAAAGGACAGTCTATTGCAAGCAGAGAAGTTTGATAAACCAGCAAACAGAACAAATAGCCCCACTGGTGAAATTTCTGCTAATTTAAAGAGTGAAAATCATACCAATACATCAAAACAAGAAAAGGATAAGTCTTGTGATAAATCATTAAAGAAAGTTTCAGAAGGGAAATCTAAATTGCTGTCACCAGTGAAAAATAAATTGTCAGTTAAAAGTGCCAAAAAGGCTGATTCAGAAAAAGGAAAATCTGAAATAAACAGAAGAGATCCAAGGCTGCGGAAATCTTCTCAAGATAAATCTGATAATAAATCAGAAATAAAAGAAAAGCGAAGAAGTGCTGAGAAAAAAGTGGAGGAAGATCACAATAAGGGAACTGACCGTAAATCTACACCAAGAAATAAAACTGTCAATGGAACCGTTTTGAAACATGAAAAGGATGGAAAAGAAATTGAGAAAGATGGATCTAAATCTGTAGGATTAAATTTTAGATTACGTGCAAGATCTTCCAGATCACAATCTCCAAGATCCCGATCACCAATATCACGTTTTGTCAGGCAAAGAGGGAGACTTTCGCCAAAGAGGAGACGCACAAGTGTTTCACCACTGTCCAAAACAGTACCAGAGAAAGAAAAGCCAGTGAAAAAACACGATGAGAAACAGAATGCTGATAATTGGGAACAAGATCGAAAGAAAACTGGTAAAGCAGAAGCAAGAGATACAAGGAGATCAAAGAGAACAAGGGAGGATAGAGTACAAGATCCTCAGGGTACACGCCCTGAAACCAGAAACTCTCCTAGAATGTCCCCTGAGCCAAAGGAGAATGCAGAAAATTGGCATGATCCTCCGTCCGTGAAACGGTGGAAGTCTGGGTGGGAAGAAGCTAAAAGGTAAGGTTTTCTGTTCAATTGTCCACAAATTATCTGAAATAAATCCTGCATTGCCTAAGTTTTTAGTGGATTGCTATTGCTGATTTTGGCCTGAATCAGACCCACTACTTTTCCATGGACTAAATGTTAGACAAGTATCTAATAATATTGTTTTGTATTTTGATGCAAGGATTAAGATTTAAAACTTTCTCAAACTTTCAAAAGTTTGGTGTCACTCCTAGACATTTCCCAGTTACATTAAAACAAATATACTTACAATAATTTATAATTGTTTAAGCCCTAGACAAGGACCTCTTTTCTCCATTTTTGGAATTTTAGTCTGCCTTTGTCCCATCTCAGTCCCGACACAGTGCTATAACCCGGTGTTTGTGATAACATTAATATTGCTTTTTGCAGCTTACATCAGAAGCAAGAAACTTCTACACGTACAAAACTTACTTACCAACAGCAGAGAGATGCACATGCTGGAAATAAAGGTGTTCTGTCACCTCGAACACCAAGGCAGCAAAGGATGAGTGTTGATGCAAACTTGCAAATTCCAAAGGAGTTAACATCTGCTAACAAGAGAGATTTATTGAGAAAAGTAAGTGGAAGAGTGAATAAGTAAAATATGCAGTGGGTGAAATTGATATAGTTCAGTAATTTGCCTCCTAAGCATGCATTAAATGTTCATTATTTGTTTAGTTGCTACAAATATATATTACTGTTAAATGCAGGAAAATTAATATTCAGATTTTCTACCAGACTTGCGTAAATATGTCTGGACCTACAAAATGGATGTTGCTTTGAAACTTAAAAAATAAATCAGCAGAGGTTACCAGGCATTCTGAACATATTTGAGAAAAGGATTAAAGCTCCTTTTCACTAATTATAGAGCAATTACACCAAGCAAGAGGGAGCTAATGTGCCCATCTTCCAGAACCAGCCTTGGTGCTAAGTGAATTTCATAGATTTGCTGTTCAGGACTCTGCAGGGCTACAAAACATGTTTGGCAGATTTCCTCAGCAGACTGGCACCAACTGCATTTGTGAGCATTTGGAAACACATGAAATAATCGTAAAATAGCCTATACTTGTGCCACAACTACTTTAAACTTTCCCTGCTTTTGTCCATACCCTTTTTATAGCACCTAAAAATGCACAGTATTTACAGTATATTGTACTGTGCACATCACTGCAATTTACAGTATGTCCTGTTAAAAGTTTTGAGGGGGCTGCCTGATGTGAAAAGGGTTCTTATCAAATTCAAAAATAATTATGTATTTCTAGGTATTTTCCTGTGTACTTTTCATTTTCTTTAAAATGCAGATTGCTCATGGTTTGAACAGATACACAATACAACTTGCACTTGATAAAGTCTCATCATCAAAATGACTAATTCACAGGATGTAAGGTGTACTGTAGAGTGCAGTGACTACATTTTGTAGGTGAACACAGCACCCATTTTGTTAACAGCTCGGTCCCACCATGAAGTGATTGACATTTTTTTATTTGGAGATTATTCACCAGGAGAAACTCTGGGGTTATTGTGCTATCCACTAAACAAAACCTTAGGATCGTACTCTTTTTCTCCCCTGCACTCAAATAGAGGTAACTGGATAGAGATCAGAAATAGGGACTCCAGCTATTTTGTTCTGCTCTCTTTGGCTGAGAGAAAGCCGTATTGTTTCAATTGAGGTCAGAATGGCTAATTTAGTAGAGATGGTGCCCAAATCTCAAATGTGTAGATTGTATGGTTTAGTAGCAAACCATATTTGAGCACAGATCCTAGTTTTCATTTAATTATTTTGTTTGTAGCATGCTTTTTTTTAAAAATGAATACAAACTGGTGACTGCCTCCTCCCTTGCCTCTTCAAGGACCATCCAAGGACCTTCCAAGGACCTCCCTCTTTGACTGCGCTTTCAGTCACTCTTCTACCCCCACCCTCCTGATCCCAACCCCCAACTTGGGTTCAAATCCTTGACTGTCCAGCGCCTTGGGATGTCCTCCCTTAGTGAAATGAGCTATACAAATGTAATTTATTTGTTGTTCTTGACTTCCATTTTAAATAGAACTTTTCATTTAACTCACTAAAATCACCTTTTTTTAGGCAAACCAACGACTGGCGAATGGAGAAATAGGTTACGAAGAATTTCTTGTTGTTGCTCATCAAATCAACCAGTTGTTCCAGTATCAAGAGGAAAAGAACCGGTCAAGTGACTCACAATGGGGTGGGGGGAAAAAGTTAAAAGGAGAAACCTCATCAGCCAGGTCACAAACTAAAAATGCAAAATTATCTGAAGCCGAGATGAGCTATTATGAGCACATGGCTAAATTAAAACGAACCAGGGTCCAATTGGAACAGTTACAAGATCCAGAACTTTGCTGGAAAATAAAAGAGGATCTTTATAGGGAGAGCACAGGAGATATCAGGCTTATTGTAAAGGAAGGTGATGACCAGGGTAGCAGGTCTCCAAGCACGAGTAGCAAGCCACATTTAGGAAGTGAAAGGCATGATACAAGAGATGCCTCTCACGAAAAGAAAGTTGGTGAAAAAAGACTGTCAACTGAGGATGCACGTGGCCATCATAGTGAAGGAAGGCATTCTGACAGAAGAAAACTCAGTGAAGGCAAGTCCACGAGACTTTCTCCTGTTGGTGACAAGCCTGATAAACATGGTGATCGTGTGTCTTCAGTACGAAAACATCCAAGTCCTTCAGTAGAAGAAGAGAAAAAGCAAACTGACAAACATGATACCATAAACTATACAAGTGAAACATTGCCTGTCAAAGAAGTTAAAAGTTCTGAATTTCCTGAAGATCAAGTAACATCAGGTAATAACTGGGTTGAGTCACGAACAGAGCTTCAGCGGCAAGGATCAAAGCATCAACTGCTGCTAGAAAGAGAGCTCCAAGAATTTGGACCAAGAAACCGACCAGGTAAACACACGACACAATTTCAACACAGATTTCTGGTAAAGGTGTGAACCATAAATTTATAAGCCTTAAGGCAATATAAAGCAATTAATAGACACGCTGGTTGCTGCTGCGTCAACTCCCTATTTCTCAAGCGTCTCCATTCAGCCACGGGCAGCTCAGGGATGGAGATGGGAGGGGTCAAGTTGCAATTGATTGAAAGTGGACTCCAGTCATTTATGAGCGACTACTTACAATTAGTGGTGGGGGGAACAGAGAAGAAACAAGGAAGGGAATGGGAGGAGCCAAATAGCCATTGATTGACAGTTGGAGCCGCTTGCGAATGGGTGGAGTGCCCGTCCAAGAGCTTCAGTTAATCTTGGAACACCAGCCCCGATGTGTCCGGTTTAAACAGTTTCCAGTGAGTATGTGATTATAGATGTATGTAATATATATACACACACACACTAGAGAGAAATACCCATTCCAGATTCACTTACAACCAAAGGATCCGATATGGAATGTAGATTGACACGGACAGACATTTTGTCTATCTATACTCCTGTGGGAAGACTCTGGGAGGACTCCTATCAAAGTTACGCTAACCGAAAGGGTTTACTGTGTGTTCCAGCAGGTCCTCAGTTATAGCAAGGCAAAAAAACTGCCATACATTTGTTGCAGAATATATTGGTGTAGATGTATCTATTTAGAAGGGTGTGTGCTTTCCTCTGTGGCTACTTTGTTGCAGAAACCATGCATATCTCATATTTTGGGACTTAATTAAAGCATTTTTTAAGTATAGCTCATCGATGATAGGAGATCTCCGAAAAAAAATTCCCATGACACTCACCTTTCCGATGAGGTATAAATTATGTGTCTACGTCAATCGGTTATTGCATTATTAGAAGATACACAGACAGACACGTGAACATTTCATCTTTATTAGTATAGATAGATACACACAAAGTTTGCTTTGCCCCTCCCCATCCCATTTTTAACCATTTGCTCATTTCATACTTTTATCAGCTAGACTTTTCAAATACACCTCACCGATTTCCTAGCTCGACCTTCCACAACCTCCAGCTTTTCCAGAGTTCTGTAGTCTATAACTGCAAAGTGTTGATTTTTTCTATCCCTTTTAATCGAGAGAAGTTTTAATACAGAACAATGTTAATTAATCTGTATTTTAAGTATACTTGAAACATGCAACTTTCTAATTTAAAAATTTTTAGATATAAAAAGAGAAGAAACAAGATCTCAGTGTGATCATTCAGAAGAAAGATCTGCTTTTGATCCGCCACCACAAAGAGGTGATGGACTTGGTGAAAACTCAAGACTGAGATCTGGTGGACTTGAAATTTCTCAGAGACTTAGGGAACTAACAGATGGACCAGGACAAAGCAAGCCTGGAAATTTGGAAAGGCTCCGAACTGATAAATCTATTGAACCAGAAGCGTGGGAGGCAGAAAGACCATGGCTTCCTGGCCGTGATGGATCACCGAAATGTGATGGGCGCATTGCTGGATCTAGGATGAGATTGGACAATCTCCCTGGACCGGGTGTTCTCCAGCGAATTGATGGTGCCCCTGAACTGTCCGGCTTGCGGGTTGAGGGTCATGCAGGGCAGCCTGGTCAACGCTTTGAAGGTTCACAACCAGGACAAACAATTTCATGCTTTGATAATTCACAGCCCGGTGCTCGCTTTGATGGCCCAAGCAGTCACTCAGGGGATCCCAGGTTGTGGGTTGAAGGTCCAACTGGGCGCTCAGGTCAATCCAACTTTGATGGTCTAGGCAGACACTCAGGGCAACCTGGAGTACGTTTCGATAACCCCGATAGTCCTCTGGGACAATCCAGGATGCATTTTGATGTGTTGCCGTCTGGTGTGCGAAATGAAGGTGCACGCACATTGCAGCCTGGTATGCGCTTTGACAACCCTGACGCTCGCTTAGGACAACTTGGGGTGCGCTTTGATAGCCCACGCCCAGGCCATCCCAGTATGCGTTTTGACAACCCTGATGTTCGTATAGGACAACCTGGTGTGCGCTTTGATAGTCCACGGCCAAACCTACTTGGTTTACGCTTTGATGGGCCACGTTCTTTACAACCTGGTATTCGCTTTGACAACCCTGACAGTCGCATGGGCCAACCTGGCGTGCGTTTTGATAGTCCACGAGCAGCACAGCCTGGTGTACGCTTTGATGGCTCGGGTATTCGTCCAGGACAGCCTGGTATCCGCTTCGATAATGCACACCAGGGTCAGCCTGGACTGCGCTTTGATGGTCCAGGCAATCACCCCAGGCAGTCTGGGATGCGCTTTGACAGTCCAGTTGGCCACCAGGTGCAGCATGGTATACGTTTTGATGGTCCACACCCAAGACATCCTGGTGTTCACTTTGATGGCAATCCTGGCTTTCGTTTTGGCGCTGCTGCTGGTCACTTTGATGGTCACCTTGGACCTCAGTTTGACCGTGGTGCTGCACAACCTGATCCAAGAATCAATGTTCCTGGTCACTTATTTAATGGACATGCAAGTTCACAATTCCAGGGAACAGTATTGACTGGACAACCTGGACTCAGATTTAATATGGCTCCAGGGATGCATTACAATGAATCTCCAAGCCATGGAGGAACAATGTTGGGTAATTCAACTTATGGACTATCAGGCCCTTGTTTTGATGGTCGGACTCCAATATCTCAAGGATTGCAAGGACACCGTAATATTGAGCCGTATGATCCAGCAAATAGTAACTTTTATAACAGAGGCCATCCTACGTCTTTACCAGGGGAAAATACACATCAACTACCGTCTGTGAGTAATAAACCATTAATAAGGGATTTTAATATATTAATGAATAGACTTCAGAAATGTTGCATAAAAAACGTGATTTTTAAAAAGGCTATATTTTCAGAGTAGTATAATTTCCCAGAAAATGCTTTTAAAATGTATTCTGTCATCGATATCTAAAAATAACTTGCATAGTAGCAGCAGTTGATTGATGGAAAAAATGATTGAATTTTGAAAACTGTGACATTCAGTACTTTTTACATGTTGCATTTTAACAGTATTTGATTTGATAGTGTGTTAAATGCTAAGGAGAATGCTTATTTAGTGTTTTATTTTATTTTGTAGGTTAATACCATAACTAGTTTTCCCCACAACCAACCTTTTAGTCAAGTCCAACAACAGTATGTCCCTTCACATACATCTGTTATTCAGGTTCAACAAGGTATGTTTTTGTGTATTTGTGAAAAATTTCTTTTAAGATTTAATTAGACAAAATGCATTGAGTGGATGTCTCATTTTTATTCAGTTCACCCCAAATACCTGAATTTTAATGTGCCAAATTGTTTCCTGTATATTTACAAAAATTCCCAAGCAGAGCATTGAATGTTCTATGCTAAATTTGCCCAGCGTTCCCAGTATTTGAGAAGGGAGAGTTTCTCTCCTGATCCCTCGACAGCACCCTCTACTGATATTTGTGCGTGTCAGCTAAATGGAGAGCAGTCAGAATCAGCTGCGATTCCCTCTTCAGTCAGTGGCCTGCCAACATGTCACTACCAAGGATAGTGAATAAACAATGGCAACTTGAGCTGGAGTCCAATTATGGAGTCTAGAGGCTCAGTGGTTAGAGCACTTGCCTCACACGCAAGAGACCTGGGTTCGATTCCCGGCAGGGCAAAAAGTTGGGTAAGTTTCCTTACTCCATGCGCCTCTGTTTTCCTAGCACTAAGTAGGAACCCGGTTGTTGGTCGATTGTTGGATTGCTTTTCCGGGTGTAGTCATTTCTTAAAAAAAGAATTAACTGCCACATTTCGTCCACAAAATATACAGTCAATTCACTTTACAGTATATTCTGTGAAATGCCTTGAGACGTCTCAAGGACGTGATAAGGCGCTATATCAATGCAAGGATTATTATTATTGGCGCCCACATCCCAACAAGAGGAGGCCGGAGAAAATCAGAAAAATAATTGGATACACCATTTTTAAGAAAAAAACTTTTAAAATCTTGACAGTGACGAATATCTATTTGGATTTTTATCTTATCGAGCATTAGATTAATGTAACAAAATATAAACTTGAATCCATTTATGAGAAGAGTTAATTTGTCTTGCCTTTAATAATTACATATTCTATCATAGGACTACCTTTTGCACCTCGGGAGAATCATTTGGGGCAGTTGGATGTTAATGAGCTGTTCGCAAAGCTACTCTCTACAGGAATCCTGAAGGCAAATCCAACAGAAACAATCCAGACTCGTAAGTTATTTTTTCATAAAATTGTATCTACACACTAATTGTAAAATGAACTCATTGAGTAAATAATAAAACTTGCAACTGCATGATTTTGAATTACTTGTAACCTAGAAGGTGAATCTCAGGCTCAACCTGCAGTTGAGGAGGAGGAAGAAGAAGAGGAGGAAGAAGACAATGAAGAAAATATTCCGGACCTTACCAACTTTAATATTGATGAGCTAAAGCAGTAAGTAGCTCAATACATTTTTAAACGTGATTTCCTTGTTTAATGACCTCCTTTATCCATTTACTTGTTAAATGCAACATCATTTTTATCTTTATGTATGTTGAGAACAAAGGCAGGCAGGGTAGCAATATTGTTCCCAATAAATACTTTAAAAGACCATCTCCCAGTTGCTTCCTCTTCGGTCTTATATTGTTCAATGTGGAGTCAAAATAAGAAAGTAGTATTTTATTAGTAGTAGTAGTAGGATAGTATTTTGTCAATTTTTGCAGTATGTTTCTTATTTAGATTAAAAATAAACAGTGTAAACTTTAACAAAATCACAACAATAGAAACAATGGGGAGGAAAGCTTTCTTCCTTGGTAATTGTGAGGAAAAATGAATATTCCATGAAATCTTAGGCAACTATGTTAGGAACAGTCTCAGACACTGAAAGATACAGTGCAGTTTGTAAACAGTGGTGAAAGAAATTTAAGGTTGGCATGGTTTGCTACAAATCCAGCAAGCAAAATCTAGCTGCTATTAGAGCTAGATAGACTGGGCATCTGAACTGTTTTTAGATGTAATGGATAATAATTTTCTAATTAAATTCAAATTAATTACATTTAGTAAATTGGATGTCATGTTATGAGTAGGTGTATCTCTGAGCATTACAGTTGTACAATAATACTAATTTGTTTTCATAAACAGGAGATATGATAGTGTTATCAACAGATTATACACAGGTATTCAGTGCTACTCCTGTGGAATGAGGTTCACAGAATCACAGACAGATGTTTATGCAGATCATTTGGACTGGCATTATCGTATGAATAGAATGGAAAAAGACATTACAAAAAAAGTGACTCACAGAAAGTGGTACTATAGTTTAACGGTAAGTTTGTTGAAGGTACAAAACATAATTCCTGCTTATTTTGCTGAGTGAAGCATGACTTTAAGATCAACTTGCACTTGGATTTTTTTTTATTCAGTGGTGTCCCCTCTTTTTTCTACTGTTAAGTGGAAGGTTTGTGATGACCTCTTAAATTTGGAACAAAAAAAATCAGAAAAATCCCATTGTATGTGTGTGACAGTGAAGTAAAATATTAGAGGAGATTGTCCTTGTTTGCTGATGAATCTAGTTTTCATCCACAGGATTGGATAGAATTTGAGGAAATTGCCGATTTGGAAGAGCGCGCAAAGAGTCAGTTCTTTGAGAAGGTACATGAAGAAGTTATACAGAGAACGCAGGAAGCTGCAAAGGAAAAGGAATTCCAGAGTGTACCTGCTGGGCCTGCTGGAGTACAGGAGGTGAGTTGCTTTGGAATTACATTGATAATTCAAATTATGGTATTCATGTTAGTGGTTAATTTATTTGTGTGATAAGATTAGTGCCAGAAAAAAGCTATTTTGCTTCGTTAAAACTTCGCATTTTGGCTGCAGGGAAGAGAGTTAACAGGCTAGCTAGTTATAAAATAAAAACTAAAAGTAGATCACCATCATTCTTTTTGCAAACCTGCTTCCCAGAGAGCGTTTGCACAGGAATCCATTCGTTACATGGTTAGTTGTTGAGAAGAGATAATCAACAGAGCACTTTGGGACTTTATCCTAGCATAAAGGGCACTATACCCAAACATAAGGTTCATAATATATTGAAACGCAAATCATTCAGCATAGACAAGCCTGGACATAATGAAAGCATGAATGAGAATGAGGTACAATGAAGTACCAGATTACAAATATGCTAATTTTATCTACTGTCTATATATATATTTGAGAACTACCAATCTTAGCTTATGTCGTAGGTGTATTGACAAACTATTTGACATTAGATTCTTATATGTGAAATACAATGTTTTATTGACAGATTTGTGAGATTTGCCAAGAGCCGTTTGAGCAATATTGGGATGAAGATGAAGAGGAGTGGCATCTGAAAAATGCAGTTCGTGTAGAAGGCAGGGTATGTATAGTAATCTACTTCTGGATCATTGAGATACCTGTAAGTAAAAGTGGTGAGCTAGATTGGGAAGAATTGTTATTTTTGATGCATAAGTATATGTTAATTGTAATAGATTTATATATGTAGAACAATAGAAAACTTACTAAGTGTTTATGTTGTACCTAAATTTTATAACTTAATATGAATGTTGAAAATACTTAAATGTTTTTGCTGCTGAACATGTAGATCTTAGCCAGTTGTACTTAAAACTCTTTATCAAATATTGCTCAAGTTACTGTTTAGTTGAATTTCAAATGTGAAACTATATAATTAACTTATTTTTTCTGTTTATTTTTCCAAAACAACTTAATGAATTTGTGCATTTTATTAAGTTATTTTGGAAAAATAAACATTAGCAGAAAGGTGGTCTGTAATTTTCATCCTTGAAAATGGTGATAGAATTTCTGCTGTAACCTAATGCTATTTTACTTTTTACAGACTTATCATCCAGCCTGCTATGAAGATTACAAAAATGTGAGTACCATTAAATGCATTGAATTCAGCTCTCCTTACTCCCCCTCTTTCTCATCCCCCATCTCTCTATTCCTCTCTCTTTTTCTTTTCCTCCTCTCCTTTCCCCTCCCCGTACAAGTATGTACAATTTAATATTTGAATCCGACCACGTCAATGGAGACTTGCCTAAGTCAATTCATGTATGTACATGTATGGTGGGGAAAATATAGCATTAGTTATTCAAAGACCAGTATAGTTTATGATCACATAACTTTAATCCACTGAAAAAAATAGAAAAAAAATAAAGCATTCAAAAAACTTTACGTGTCTTAATTGTCTTTATTCCTTAACTTATTGCATATTTTAAAGAATTATTCTTCCTCATTTAATCTTCAAAATGTCTTTAGGCTTCAATTACAGATTCAACTCCATCTCCAAGTGAAGCACCGATAGAAAACCCATTGCATTCAATTATTGGCATTGTTAAACAAGAAAAACTGGATAGTTGCGAGACCTTGGATTCCACCATCAGCTGCAAAAATGAGGAAAGTGAAGATAGTTCTATGTTGACAGATATAAAAACTGAAATTGAAAGCGATACTGCAGTGGTAAAACTAGAAAAAGTCTAGATCTTCCCTTCAGAAAGAAAGCTGTGCATTTTATATGCATTATAGAATTTAGTGGAAAGAGATGCAAGATGAATGGTTTGGATTTGATGTATCCTTTTGGATGAGGGCAACTATCTTAAGATGACACTGAAGCAGTGCTACCTCTTGCTACATGAAAAATTATTGGGAAATGTGCAAAGCGGCAAAAGTACGTGCTACCTTCGAGAAGCATGTCAAATTTAACCTTTCTCCTATTTTATATTTTGAGGCAGGAGTCTCAGCAGAAGTTCCATATTGAATACATTTTGGTATTTGAATGTTCAACTGCATGTGCAGTTCAGGTGTGTGAGTGCTGCAGATGAGTGAATGCCCTTGGAAAAAATTAAAATGCGACTTTTTTTGTAAGAATGTTATTTCTAAATAAAATATTTTTGAAATATGTTTTGTGTGCAATTGATGCAAAGTGTTTAAGTTCATTTAAAAAAATATTTATGGTGCAATGAGAAAGGGTACTTTGGTTTAGGAAACATTTATTAAAAAATTGTAGGGACTGAACTATTGAGACGATAGTTATTTGACATAACATTTATTTTTTTGTTTTTTCCTGTGGATTCCTGCAAATTACAAAAGTTACGTTTAATAAATCTTCTTGCAGCTTTCGATTTTATACACCTGAAAATGCAGTGTTGGAACCATCAGCCGCTGAACTTTAATGTATTAATAAACTAAATAAACCACCTGGACACAGAACATTTTGTCTGTTTTTATTTATTCTTATAGATCTGGGTGAGATTATCAAAATGAATACAAAAGGTATGCTCCAACAGCACAGATAGTGCATAAGTCTTACAGTGACCTAATCGGAGGGGGAAAGTAGAAAAATTCCTACAGTGTAAAAATATACTTAAAAAATTGAATCAGAATGGCATGTATGATTTTGACAAATTTGTTGCCAATCTTTTACTTCCCTTTCACCTCCGAGTCAGAAATTTGTAGGTTCAAGTCCCATATTTGGACTTAAGACTCAGGCTGACACTGGGGATGTGCTGTATTGCTGGAGGTATTGTCCTTCCAATGAGACGTTAAACCAGGGTCCTGTTCAGCTTCTTGTGTCCTGGCCAAAACCCCAAATAAAATTATAATAATAATCCTTGCATTTGATATAGCACTTTTCCCGTCTTCTAGTCACTCATTTCATGGCTGTTTGCAAATTGGATGCCTGTTCACCTACAAATAGTCACTGAAGTGCTTCGGGATGTCTCGAATGACAAAAGATGCTATAACAAATGCAAGGATCATCAATATTTGTCTAAGCAAGCTAACATTTATTTGCCGCTTTTAGCTAAGGACAAAACCAGGACTTGTGGCCAACCCAATACTCTCAACCAGGGAGGTCCAATTGGCCTGTGGGCTGCTTTTGACGTCAGATGATTTCATCCAGCCTGTGAAACATTTCCAAATTCGGCCGCCTGCTCTCCCGAGCCGTCACTGCAGCAATGTGAGGGGAACAAATAATGGCACCCATTGCTGAGGCTGCAGGGAATCCCTCTGAAGCTGAAGTATTTCCTTACTACCCGTGTCCTCTCAACTGTCTGCCACTGCCAGGTGGTGAGCCATCCCATGTGGCTGGGAGATTGGCCGTTGACATTGCTAGAGAGCATAGCTGATTGATTCATGGCTGAGTGGTGGGGTTGGAGGGAATGATTGAGAGCAGAGAAATGGAGGGGTGGGGGCAGAATTTCATTGTTCACTGTCAGGACAGACAATCTGAGCCTCCCTTGGCCACCATGGGAGGGAGGGGGGAACAAAGACAGACACTGAGCGACATGCCATGCTGTTACCTCATAGCAAGCTCCCCCTTTAGTGAAGTCCTCGATGGATTTCATACCCACTCCCACCCTATCTGCGATCTACGACCCGGCTATTGCCCAGCATACACCAGTTTGCTTCATGTTCTCCCCACCCCACCTGTTCCACCATCGGCATTTTGCCCCTGCCCTCTGGAGGTCCATTTGCGAAGTACCTCCAACTTGCTCTCTACCAACTCTCTTTCACGGCACATTAAGACCTAACTGCTTTCGGTCATCTTTTCCCCACCCCTAGCTCAGGTGACTGTTGAGTGCTTTGAGATGTCCTTCAAATGTGAAAAGGGCGCTATGTAAATGTTATGTTTCTGGAAAGGAAACACAAAAATATTGCTTCAGATCAGACAGATTGTGTGGGCAGCACATTAAGCACTTTAAACTTTTTAAAAATATATACACCTTTTTAGATAAGTGCCTTGACTATATTTCGTATTTTCCCAATAGCTTGGCTCTGTGGAACTGCACGCTCCTTGTTCCAATCCTCTCCATGGTCTCATTCTTACCTCCACCCCGCCCTCATGGTTACCTGCACCTCAGAGAACCTCAGTGCTACATCATCGATCCTTTTGCTTATCTACATGCACCCTCTTGGTGGGTGACATATGCAAAATATGTTCACCGATACCCAGATCTAGTTCACTTTGTGATGCCAGTCTACAGAGGTTATATCCACCTTCCCGTCAGATATCAAGGCCGGGAAGAGTCAACATTGACAAGACAGGAGCTGACATCCATTCCTGCCAACATCTCTCTTCCAATTCTGTCCTCAACCTCATTCAAATCCAGTGTGCAGCCTTGGCATTTGGTTGGATCATCGGCTCTTCCATTTCGGGCCTTAAATAAGATTGTTTTTCTTCACCTTTCTACATGGCTTTCCTCTATCTCACATAAAATAACAACGATCCTAAAACATTGCTGAAACCCTATTAAAGTCACCTCTCGACTCGCCAACACTACCATTCCCTTATTCTCTCTCTCTTCAGTTTACCCAATCTTGACAGCACCTTGATGCACGTTAATGAGGGCTATCTGCAGTGTTTCTAAATCCTGCCCCAAAGCACCTCTTTCTAACTAAAATGAAACAACCGCATGAAAGTTCTAAAATTTTATTTTTTTGAAAACTTAATTGTGTCTAATTACTACATAGATCAATGATTTTTTAAAAAACAAATCCCATTCTACTTTTTAAGTTTTCTTTCCCATATCACCTCCCAGCTTCACTCCTTCCACTCACTCAAGCAGCCCCTCAAATTCATTCTCCGCCCTGCCACAACATTGTCCCAGTGTCCATAAAGAACTGAATAAGTTCTAACTTTTTATAGCTAAATGTCAACATGACCAAGACTCTCTTGCTTGCTTCCTGTCAGCGCCTCCTCACCTCATCAGCGTGCACCACATCTCTGCAACATAACCCACCCCCACCCATCACCACCGCCACCCCTAGGCTACTGGGTCCCTATTCACACCTTCATTTCCATCCTCCACTATTACAACACCTTCCTTGCTAAATTTCCCAACTCCTCCCTACACACGCTGCAGACCATCCAGGACTCTGCAACCCGTGTCCTTTCATGCACCAGGCTCTGCGATTCCATCACCCATCCTCACTTGGTTCTACTGACTCATACCACCTCCCACCGGCCCCCATGGATCAGATTCATAAGTTTCAGTTTTTTCGAATGCCTCTATGGTCTTGTCTCATGCTATGTCTGCAACCTTCTGCGTACCGCCCTGCTCAGCAAACACCAGCTTGCCTCATGTCCCCACGCAACTTATAGATTCATAGATTCATAGAATGTTATGGCACAGAAGGAGGCCATTCGGCCCATCGAGTCTGTGCCGGCTCTTTGACAGCGCAAGTCACTTTCACTAACCCCAATCACCAGCTTTCTCCCCATAACCCTGCAAACCCGTCTTCCCCAGATACCTATCCAGTTCTCTCTTAAAAGCTGTTATCGAATCGGACTTCACTACCCTTTCAGGCAGATCATTCCAAATTCGAACAACTCGCTGAGTGAAAAAATTTCTTCTAACTTGCCCCACAGAAGGTAGACATGCTTTCAGCCATTTTGCCTCCACTTGCTAGAACTCCATCCCGGAGTCCCTCTGTCTCCCCCTGCCTTAAGACCTCTCTTCAACCACATATCCCCTTCCCTTTCCAGCTCAGGCTCTCAGTTGTGTGTAGAGCTCTAAGGCACCCTCCCAACGTAAAAAGGTGCTAAATAAATGTAAATGTTGTGTTACAGAGTTTCCATTCATTGCTAGACTTGACTTTGCAAGTCAACCTTTCTGCAATCTCTCGTCCCCTCCTCTCCACTATCGGTAACTGTGCCTTCAGCTAATGTGACCCGAATCTCTGGACCTCCTTGCCTCAATCCCTCCACCTTGCCCTCCTTTTTGTCTGTCTTCAGATCGCACATGAAGACTTTCCTCTTCGCCCATGCCTCTGGTTATCCCCCCTCTCTTCCTGGCTCCGCAAGAATCTTCTTCATTGCTAAGCCATCTTGAGGCACTAGAGCGAGTGAAGGCACTATATAAATGCCAACTGTTGCTGCCTAACTATCTATTCTCCTGTTACATTGAGTTTGCATTTGTTTCTCTCTGTTAAACTGTCTCCACCACTCTTTTGGTCACACTGGAGTCTCCCTCACTGTTACACCGAGTCCCTGGGAATTCACTTGTCACTTTTACTTCATTCTCTCTTGAGTTTCCTTATTTCCTTTTACTAAACTAAGTTTCCAAACTGAAAGCATTTAACTCCCTTTCACTGATTCTCCCTTTCACTCTCTGACATCCCAAACCTCTCACCTCCTCTTTCTCCCTTTTTTGTTTCCACAAATGTGCCATTGCCAGATTTGACACATAATCTTTTATTTGTGTCTCTTTGTTTCCACTGAAGGCAGTCTCTATTGTTACTTTTCTCCGGAAATAAAACCAGTCTGTTTTGGGTGTGTGTGACCCAGGAAGTTTACTCCCGTTGCTACCCAAGAAGATAACGAGCAGCAGCAGCAGCAGCAGAGAGCTGTTGGTGATCACTTCAAGTGGCTGCAGATCTACTGTATTTAATACAAGGTTCTGCCATGCCTGCTGTACCTGGAGATGCAATAGGTAACCTCAGCAGACAGGCAACTGACAAAGAGAGATAAAAGTACTTTAACATTTTTCTTTCTCATTCCAGGGCACTGGAAAATGCCATAAGTAAACCTTGCAGCTACAAATACTACCCCCTCCCCCAACCAAGATATATGAATTCTTGTGTTAATTAATAATAATCTGATTTCTTACTTCCAGTGGATTGGTCACTCCTATTTTTTGTGTGAATATAATCTTATCTGCATGCTATTGTTTATTGTATTGTACAAACCTTCTCCATTTTCCTATTTCTTTATCTTATAATTTGTGCAATGAATGTTTTATTGTCAGTATTAATTCTTAGTTGTGTTTCGAAATATTATTAAGCAGCTAGGCGCTTACAGAAAATGTTGTTTGCCTTTTGAAACTCAGTGTTTTTAAAAACAACTTATATTGTGACTTTCATGCAGCATAACATCTCAAAACACTTTACAAGGGCAATATAGTCAGGGAGGTTGGAGGAAGATGACCAAAAGCATGGTCAGAATTGCCATTGAGAGCACTGACTGGCAAAGCTTCCCATGCATTAAGGCTTTGACTTGCAGATTCCCTGCTCCCAGCTGGTCTGTCATCAACAGGATCTTAGAGTCCTCAGCACCATCTGGTTCAGCATCGAGAACCTCACAGAGGATCGATTCTGATTTTCCATTTCCAGGCACATCACTTGGAGCCAGCTCAATCCCAAGGAAAACCTGTTTATCTCCTTCCCTGTCCCAGCAGATGGTCACTGGTTGGTTATTAGACCTCGGCCAGTCCAGGTTTGAAGCCTCGCTGGTGGATTGCAAGTACCAAGTTAGGATAGTGTTGGGAGTATTGGTACTGGACTCAAGAGTCAGGGCAGAGAGACTATCAAAAGTATTTCTGTGGATGTTGACTCTATGTCCTCAGTAATGACACCAAGGAGAAGTGAGAATGTAGATACGGAAAATGGGAAGATTTGGATACACGAGAGGTGACCGTACGAGCTGTTGTTAATGACTCTGACCAGCTGCTATGGTGAGTCAGAATATAGACTGTAAGATCTCAAGCAGGGAATCGTGAAAGATGTGGGAGCATAACTGGAGAGGTGCCAACACATTCCAATACTTTGGAGAGAAAAGTTAGATTAGAGATAGAGGATAGAGAGGGTGATGGAGAAGAATCTGGTGTTTTTTTAGAAGGTTGATAATTGCAGTGTTAAAAGAAAGCTATGGTTCTGGAGGATAGGAAGCTGTTACTGATGTTGGCTAACAAAGGATCAAATTGGTATTGGTAGGCGATCGAGGGAACCAGATCATTTTGTAGTTAAATGCAGATTAATTGGTCAGGCACCTCTACCAGATGAAAATGGCTGCCCCGTTTGCCTAGAAATAGTCATTATACTTGCGAGTAATCATCTACCTGTTTAAATTAAAGATCCCATCGCACTATTCAAAAAGAGAAGGGAGTTTTTCCCTCTGTTCTGGCCACAAATTCTCCAGATAAAGTTGGTTATTCACTTCATGGCTGTTTGTGGGGCATTGCTTTGTGCAAATGGCTGCCTCCAAAATATACAGTCACAACACTTTACAGCAAATCCTGTGAAGAGCTATGAGATGTCCTCTGTTGTAAAATATGCTAAATCAAAAGTTAGAATCATTATTTTTATTATTATTATTGTTACTTGTGAAGTGCTTTGGGATGTTTTCATGAGACAAGATACTCTCAAAATGTAAGATGTTTAGTTTGGAAGAAAAGTTGTGTTGTTTGTAAATTTCATTCAGACTCTGATATTGTTAGTGCTGCTAATGAACTAGTAATGAAGCCAAAGATATTATTTTATCTTTATTTGAATTAATCAGTTCACATCCATTGTTGACCCTATGAGGACCATAACAAACCAGTCTAGAGTGTTTGTATTGTTTTGTTTGTTTCTTTGTTTGTCTGACAGCTGCAAGGAAGAAGAAATCTTTTGGCAGCATTCATGAAGCAGTCAAAGCAGGTGATGTGGAGGAGCTTGAGCTTATGGTGAAAAGTGGAGCCAGTATTAATGAGGTTGATCCAGTTCACAAGTTCACCCCTTTGCAATGGGCAGCACATTCTGGTAGTTTGGAGGTAAAGGATGATTTACCACTGTAGTGAAGTATAATATCTCACCCCCACCCTACCTCTGCTACCTCCTTCAACCTACCAACCCAGACGCTCCCTTCACTCAGCAAGCACCAGCCTCCTTCGTGTCCCCCCGGCCCCTGCTCTCTGGAACTCCAGCCCAGAATCCCTCTGAATTGCTCCCTCCTCCCTCCCCTCTTTCAAAACACGTCTCAAAATGCATTATTTTTCCCTTCTCACCCCCCGCCCCCCTTTTGGTGCCGATCCAACACTGTGAATGTGCTTTGTGACGTGAAAGGCGCAAAATAAGTGTATACTGTATTAGTGCTAAAATATTCTTTTGTTCATTTGTGTATTTTCACAGGCCTGTCACTTAAGGATAGTACAGTAATGCAACAGTACTTAAATAGCATTATCCTGAACTGGCAGAAGGCTGAAGGCCACACACTATTGAACCATCAAACCTTGGAAAATATGGTCTTTTAACATCAGTTTATGCAAATGAATAAAACTCACTGGGCAGTGACTGACATCCTGATCAGTACTGTCACTATAGTAACTCTGTGACCTTTTTAAACCCTTCCAACCACCTGCTCCCTCCGCTCAGCAGGCAAGTTTAGTCAAAACAAGAGCATAAATACCTACTGTTCATTATGTTTCAGTGTCTGCACTGGTTGCTCTGGCATGGAGCTGATATGACTGATGTAACTCCCAGAGGCTGGACAGCTGCACACATTGCAGCGATCAGAGGTCAAGATGCTTGTATGCAGGTAAACAAACTATTGTTTGTGACTTTTAATCGTAGAAGAAATGCATGAAGCAATGCAAAAGTTAAGGTATTTCACAATCAACTTGGCTTTTGAATTGTTGATCCTATCTCGAACATAAATGAAAACTTTGAAAATATTCTATTCCACAGCATTGATATCTCTCACCTTGATGAACACAAAATCCACCTTTGGCATTATATATGACTTTTGATATGTTTCTTGTGAATAGCAGCTTGCTTCAGAACAGTGAACGCTAGCGTAATGTTTTCAGGTATTTTTCCCCCTTAGGCCTTGGTAATGAATGGCGCCAACCTAACAGCAAAAGATGATCGGGGCTGCACTCCGTCACACTTGGCAACTGCTCATGGACATTCATACACGCTTCAGACTATTCTTCGCAGTGGGGTGGTAAGGGCCTTTTATTAATAAAGTTTTGTTTCACGGCAAATATCATGGCCTCTGCAATCTTTTTTGTTTATTTTTATATCACAAGTTAAATATTGCAATTGGTTTACTTGAAGCTGAGACATTTGAGAGGGGAACCGATAACAAGTCCATAACAAGGCCACTTAAATATAAGATAACCACTAGGACATCTAAAAGAGAGTTTATGAATGACTTATTCACACAGAGTGGTGAGAAGCTGTGGTTAATGTATGTAAGAGGAAGCTTAATGCATACATAAGGGAGAAAGAAATAGAAGGGTATGGGAGTGAGATAAGGAAAGGGCAACAGGCTTGTGGAAGTTTTAATAGTAACTTAACGTAGGCCTGAGTTCATCCTTTTATTTTTTTACGTCAAACTTTACAGTGATTAGCCATGCTTGTTAACTGACTATTATGTTACAATATAAATGTAATTATTCTATTTTGGAGCAGCAAGTTCTTCTGTTTTTAATATCAATTGCCTTTTGTTACCTTTTGCCATCACTAATAAGTGGGTGCCAGAGTGGTGCCATTGGTAGCATTCCCATCTCTGAGTCAGAAGGTTGTGGGTTCAAGCCCCATGTTGGAACCTTGAGCTCACAGTCCAGGCTGACACTCCAGTCCAATGCTGGGGATGCTCTGCATTGTTTGAGTTGCCATCCTTCAGGTGAGACTTTAAACCAAGGCCCCATCTAACAATTTAGGTGGATTTTAAAGATCCCATAGCACTGTTCACAGACTTTTTCGCTCGTTGTCCTGATTGACAATCCCCAGGATAAAATTGGTCATTCACTTCATGGCTGTTTGTGTGGCATTGCAGTGAGCAAATTGGCTGCTGTGCTTGTCTACAAAATACATAGTCACTGCACTTTACATTAATAATATTAATAATAATCCTTACATTTAATATAGCGCCTTAGCACATTGTTGAGATATCTCAAAGCGCTTCACAGAATATATTATAAAGTATTTGACCGTGTATTTTGTGGGCAAAATACAGTCAATCCACTGTATTGTGTTTGTGACATTTTGACACTTCTTGAGGTTGTCAATATGTCATAAACCCAATTAAATACTTTTGACAACCTGATCAAATGACAACCTAGTATCAAATGCAGATTATTATAAGCACCAAGCTGTCATTATCCAAAGTTATTATATCTTAAATTGAAAAATCCGGATTTTGTTCAAATCTGATAATAAATATTAATGATAATACTTACATTTAATATAGTGAATTGTCACATTGTCAAAAATGTTGGAGTGCGAGGCTAGACTATGAGCTCAAAGCCCTGACATGGGACTTGAACTGAGATGGGAGTGTTATCAACTGAGCCAGGCTGACCCCCCTCTAAATACATAATATTTATTTTAATATTATATTTATTGCATCTCGCTTTAAATATGAATCCAGATATGAACACTATTTGTTTTGAGATGACAGTTTCTGAAGATGTAGACAAAAATTCGACATTTAGTGTAGAGATTTGTTTGGTTTCCATAATTTCTACCAATAGAATCTAAATAAATAAATAAATAAAGTAATTAATTAATTAATAAAGCAGGAATCTCTATAGTAACGTATGGAATCAGTCACTCTGAATGCAAAGGAAACACCTGCAAAATCAGCTTGCTTGCTAAAATGAACTGTCATGCCTCCATTGACAGTACATCACACTTTAAATCTGTTCTGTTGCGATCTAGGATGCAAACCCATCAGATAAGAGCGGTTGGAGATGTGTTCACTATGCTGCCTTCCATGGAAGGCTGGGCTGCTTGCAGCTGCTGGTCAAGTGGGGAGCTCACTTGAGTGAAGTGGATCAGAATGGCAACATACCAGGTTATTGTTACTGCAACTCTGCAGCTGATGTGGAAATACGGTAGGACAAAAAGTCACAAAGATCAACCAGTGTGTCCATATAGGACCATTCTCAACCTTAGCTCCCGCTGGTTATATTTTTACATCATCATCATCATCAACAACATCATCATAATATTATCAATAAATAATACTAACAATTGACAATATTATTAATTAATTAGGATTATTATTATTAATAATTATTATTGCACTCATATTTTATTGTTTCATATTTTTGAACTGAAAATAACCTTTTATTTGTTGTGGTTGTGGCTAGTGGAGCCACAATATTATGATTTTGACAGTTAAAATAATGAAATGTATACAACAAAATAATACAAAGCCCAGATTGTAATATGAGAGCATGTTATTTTAAATCACATGATTTGCCCACATGAGTCATTTCCCTTACTACTCACAGTGAGAATGCTAACCAGTCGCAAACAGTTTGCCTGCAAATGGAATAACAAACTGCAGCAGTACGTTGTGTATTAGAATAACATTGTCGGGAGTATTTGAAGGATGTAATAGATATTGGAGTTAAGATGAAATTGCTAAGGCTATTTGAGCCCATTGCCAAGCCACTGTGGTTTGTGACTTCATCAGGGTTGCTCAATATAATGCTGTCTTTTATCATACACCGATCTGAGCAATCCCGACAGTGAAATGATCACATGATTTACTGGTAGTTTTACAGTGATTATGTCATCATAGTGAAACTTCCCGTGTAAATAACCTCAGTGGTAAACTTCAATGACTATCACAGTCTCCGTAACAGCCACGACTGGCAAAAAGAGCAAAGCAACCCAAATGAAACAAAATCCGCATGAATTTTATTGATGGCAGCAGTTATTAAGTATACAGTGAAGTCCAAAAAAAATTGTACATAGGTTCTGAGGCTGCTGCTTTAAAACATTCCTTGCTTTAAAAATATTTAGCAGCAAATTTATTTTTAAAACAAATAGAACCACATTGTTAAGATACTATTGAACAGAAATGTACTGATAGCTGAAATCTTCATTTTGATATTTATTAATAAAAAAATAATAATAATCCTTGCATTTGATATAGCACTTTTCACGTCTTCTAGAAGTCTCAAAGCGTTTCACAGAATATACTGCAAAGTGAATTGACTGTATATTTGTGGGCGAAACACAGCAGCCAATTGCGCACAGTGTTCCACAAACAGTCATGGATTGAAAATGACCAATTTATTATTATTTTGTTTTGGAGGCATGTGGAGTAAGGAAACTTGCCCAAGGTTTCGCCCTACCTAGAATTGAACCCGGTGTCTCGCTTGCAAGGCGAGTGCTCTAACCACTGAGCTACAGGACTCCATTAAAGCAGTGTTGTTAATAATTTAAATTTCGTCCGCACAATACACAGTCAGTTCACTTTACAGTATATTCTGTGAAGCACTTTGAGACATCTCAACGACGTGATAAGGTGCTATATCAAATGCAAGAATTATTATTTTTCAATCTGGGTGCATAATTTGAATTATTGATGAAAGATAGCAGTGTTATTTGCTCTTAATGTGCTTTGTATTTCTCTGTTAACACTAGCTCATCTCGCAGCAATGGAGGGCCACTTGAACTGTTTTAAGTTTCTTGTCTGCCAAGGGGTGAGCGTGACCCACGTATTAGGAGCCAGGAATGATCAAGGAGAAACCCCAAAGGATCTGGCACAGAGATTCTACAAGGATAATATAGTGCAGGACATTATGGCCATGCAATATGAACAAAATCACCCAGATAATCAAGAAAGTAAGCCGCCTAGACCTTCTAAAATCCAGCTAGTCCACTCAGTACTCAATGATCGTGGTTGTGTTTAAGGAAGTGCTTTTATTAAATAACATTTCTTTCAAAGGGAATTGCAAACCAAAAAATTGAAGAGGAAAACTAATAGGATACGGAGAATGAAAAGAGAATTGAGAAAGTTTGGTCCAGTGGATTAGCTAGCCCAATATTATAGGCTCCTTTGGTTCCTCCTATATCCAATTTATATGATTTTCATTACAGTATATCAAACGATCATTTTGTCTACGTGAGTAGGACCTGTTCTTTCCTTACAAATCTCCTAGTGGCTGTTATATAGGCAGTATTAACAGATACTTAAAACACGAAGCTATCCTTTTCATTGAGGAGAGGTGCATGCGCAGAGGGACGTAAAGGGGTGGAGAGAAAATAATGAAGCAAATTATGTGTGAATGGACATTTAATGTAATGATACTAAAATGATGAAAGTAATGCATTGAAAGTAATAAGGATGTTTTCCTATTTTGCATTTCTTAGATGTTGCATTTCCTGCTCATGTAAGTGCATTCAAAGGGGATTTGAAAACTCTCAGACAGTTAGTGGAATCTGGAGTGATCAACGTCAATGAGCGAGATGACGGAGGCTCCACCCCCACACATAAAGGTCAGCTGCATCCTTTTACAATACTGTTTCAGAAAGAGTTAAACACTCTGCCATAGGGGAATTAAGTGAAACAGTCTGTATGATGTGCACTGACTTCTCATAGGTACAAATGATCAGCTGAGACAGCCTGGATCAGACAATGGAAAAATCTGGATAAGCCCTTCGAGGAATATACTGTAAAGGGAATTGACTGTGTATTTTGTGGGGCAAAATGTAAACTATTAACAGCACTGCTTTAATAAATATCAAAATGAAGATTTCAGCTATGAGTACATTTCTGTTCAATAGTATCTTAATAATGTGGTTCCGTTTGTTTTAAAAATAAACATGAGGACAAAATATCAAAGCAGTAACATTGTCCCATTATAATTCATTAATTCTTCAGAATAAATGACTAATATACTCTATCCAGATCAGAGTGCAAAGGGCCAAGGAAAAGACATAAAAATAATAACAATTATTCACCACATAATTTATCAATTCCCAGAATGTAATTTAAAAATATATCACAGTTCAGAACTCTTTACAGATATTGACGGTCTGTCTCTCATTTTCTCTTTCTCAAACAATTGGAATCTCTCTCTCTCTCTCTCTCTCTCTTTGAAATGAAAACGTTCTCTTGATCACAGCTTGTCTCTTGTCTGTCCAGTCTCTCTTTTTAATTATTTATTTTGCTTTGGGGATAATGGGCCTATGAAAAATTGCCACACCACTCAACTCATGAAAACACCAAATGCAAATCTCTTGTACCATTTGTTTTATGTATACTTTTTAGAAACCCAGTGTGCCACTAACACTCTCTCACATGCTCCAAGGTGTTAACCAAGCAGTTGAACATATTGTATAGGAGCATAGTCAAAATAAACTGTGCTTTCTGAAGCAAGAAGCTGTGACTATCATTAGAAATCATTTAAATTATTTATTTGTTATACAGCACAGAAATGTTTTATTAAATTTGCCTGACCTACTCAGAAATCATTAATGTTTCAAACAAATTAATTCTGTCAGCCCCTCACATAAATATTGTGAAGAACCAACAGTTGTTTTGTGGGTTCATATGGCAAATGGTCTTTCCAAGAAGTTCAGACTACAAAATGCATCCAATAAATTACTGCATTTTGCATTACTCATTATTATTTTGCACACACAACATCCTCCTGAACTGCCAAGGATGATGTAAGATTTATAATAAATAACATGCAAGTAAACAGTGTGACATCAAACTTTATATAACAAGGCTCTGAAGATGGATTCTTTATGAGAACAATAATAAAAATTTAAAAACGGATTTCTCTATGTCCTATTTTATTTGTTATTTCCTGGGTAATTTTAATTGCTGTGAGTGTCGCCATATCACTTTCAGATTAGCTTCCTTACAGCCATTCTGGCAGATGCTGTACATCTTATCCCTACATTGAAAAAAACTATGTACAGAACTGTGAAATTTGATAATATTTGAATCTTAACGTAAGGATAAATACAAATTATATAACGGATATAAAGTATCTGAACTTATCAGGTCAGTAAATAGACTGTTACAACACTGAGTGGCAAGACTGTTGTAAGATTGTACACGACTGACCGATCATTTGTGCAATCCTTAGCTGCTGGACAAGGACACCTTGAATGTCTGCAATGGCTTATAGAAATGGGAGCAGACCACAATATCAAGAACGATGCTGGAGAGACAGCAAAGGATGTAGCAAAAAGGTAGTAAATTGTATTCATGTTGGAAAGGCATTCTAATGGTTTAACTTAATTATTCAACACTTGGAGATTATTACCCCCAGAAAGTGGATCGCTTTCCGGGGTAATAACCCTCCCTAAAAACATTTGGTCACTCAATCCACGATTGACTGTGGGACACTGCTGTGCGCAATTGGCTGCCGCGTTTCACCCAGAAAGTACACAGTGAATCCGTTTTACAGTGTATTCCGTGAAGTACTTTGAAACGTCTCAATGACGCGATAAGGCACTAAATCAAATGCAAAGATTATTATTGTTAAGATTAGAGACTTTTAGTCTCTGCACAAAGGACATTTTATTTACTTTGGGTTTTTTCTATTAAAGCATTATGTTCTATACCTCATGTCAAAAAGTGCAATATAAAATGGACTTAAAAACAGGGAAATGTGCAGGAAAGGGATCAGAGCTGATAGTTAGAATACATAATAATCCTCACATTTGATGTTGAGAGGACATCTCAAAGCAATTTACAGGATTTACTGTAAAGTGTATGGACTTTGTACATTTGTGGGCAAATTGGAGGCATCCATTTTGCGCACAGCAGTGTTCCACAAACAGATGTGAAGTGAATGAACAATTCTTTTCTGATTATGCCTATGGATGCATTCTTCCAGCTAGTTCTAAATGGAAATTGTAAATGCATAAATTGAAAGAGCTGTACCCCACAATAAACTGTTGGTGCTTTTAAAGAACCCTTATCTATTTGTGGTACTTAAGATGCATCAAGTATAACTGATCCTTGCATTTGTCCAACAGGTTTTCCCAGTTGGCTGCAGTTAAACTCTTGGGAGGAGGTCTGGATGATAATTCTGATGAAGAGCTCAACAAAGATGATCCTAGCTTCTTTGACCAGCATGGTGTCGAAGGCAGCACAGACAGTCAGGGTGATGTCAACTTGAATGCCAGTCAAAAAAGAGAGGCAAGGAGTAAGTTCAAGTTCCTTGATTCACAGTAAGTGCATGCTATATACTTATCTTTATTACGGAGGCCGACATGCTCAGTAAGATGATGGATGGCTGTAGAAAGATGTTCAAAATGCTAGAAGCTGCCAAGAACCACCAACTTGAGTACAGAATTAACTGGACCTGGACCTGTGGAGTGTTTTGATTTTCATAAGAATCAGTTGGTGTTTGCACACCTTTTGGGGGTGAGTGTTTTCCCTAGGGAATATTCTGTGTTAAGTTTGGAGTTTTTGCATATTTTTGTACTTGTTCCATTTTATGAGGGTTTGTTATGATATATTTTCAGTGACAGGTGATATTACCGGCTGGTTGCATTTATACAGCATTTTCTTTACCCAGTCGTTAATTACCTTCTGGTTAAAGAAAACCTTCCTGGTATCTGTTCTGATGTTACCCTTTGCAACTCTAATCCTACGTCATCTTGTTCTACTATCTTGGTACGTCCTAAAGTATTGTTCTGGGTTTACTTTTTCAATCCTTTTTAAACATTTCACATACCTCTATAAGGTCACTTCTGAGTTATTTTCTCTCGAGACTGTAGAAAATAACTACCTTGTCTAATCGTTTCTCATAGCTCATTCCTCTAACACTCGGGATCATTGTTGCTCTCCTCTGCACTGCTCTAGGACTTGGGCAGCCCTTTCATCGGGGTGACCAGAACTGTACACAATGCTGTAGGGGCAGCCTGAGTATTATATCTAAAGATCTAAACTAATTTAGGAATGTAGCCTAGCATCCATAAACTACCCCTGTCCACAAAAGCAAAGTTGTGAGTTCATGAAAACATTGAACGATTCACTTATAATTGTGGCACTAATTATTTTTATAGTTGTATTATATTTTAATCTAGAAGTACTTTTATATACCTATTATTGAATATTTTGTGAATGCTCCCTTCGCCTTGCCCTCTCCCTCCCCATTTTCAAATCCTGTCTAAAGACCTTCCTTTTGGTCATGCTTACAGTCACCTCCTCACTCCCTCTCCCCTGGCTCAGGGACAGACTCTGCTAACCCGCGTGAAGGACGCTATATAAATGCAAGTTGTTTTTGTTGGTGTCATTTTTTTTTNGCAAAACTTTCTTGCTAAACTTTTAAAATCACAGATTTATCCAACTTTACTTTTAAACGGGAGCTGGAGATCTATATTTATAATACGCTATTGGTCTATATTGTTCTTCTGAACTGCTACGCTCATCATTACAGTGAGGGCCTACCAAAAGATCGAACAATTTGAACATTTATTGGAAGTTGCAAAAAGTAACTACAAACAACTTGGAGGTTTGCTCGAGGAAGATCAACTCAGACAGAAAGAAGAGAACGAAAGAGACAGGTAGTTATTTCATACTTATGTGGTTAATGTAGAATGCACTTTGTGTGAAGTAAAAGTAAATTCACCATTTGTCTACTAAAATCTATTCAAATTTATGCCCTGGTTGACTGTGCAGTGCAGTGCATCAGGGATTCTTCAGAAGGCAAAGTATTTCATTTTGGTTGTGTCTTTGTGTGTCAAACCCTTCCTATGGAGGGAGCTTTACCCAGCACTGAACTCCTGATGTACCAAACCTGGCAGTTCTTGATATTGATATTGGATCTAAAAACCATGAAAATCTATATTCTCCAGCACTGACATGACCTTACTAAAAGTGGTTACTGTTCCAGGTATAAAAAAAATTATACTGATGACGACGCAGTTCACAAATATTATGAAAAGCATAAAACTGTGCATTGTTCCTTCCTCTCACCCCACTCCCTCTACGAACCCATACAATCGGGTTTCAGTGCTACCCACAGTACAGAAACAGCTTTGGTCAAAATGACAAATGGCATTTTGCCCATCTTTGACCAGGGCTCCCTCTGTCTCCTCGTACTCCTTGACCTCTCTGCTGCCTTTGACACTTCAAACATGGTGTTCTTTTTCAATAGGATGTACTATGAGGATGTGGACTTTCTCTTGTCAGGTTTAGGAATTGAATTCTATTATTTTAGCTTTATGGGGGAAGGGAAAAGAGAGAGAGAAGGAATCAGTGCCGGAGAGAGTAGGTACTTTGAGAGAATGTATAAGACTTAACTTTTACTTTTGAGCAGAATGATTCAAGAGCTTCAGGCCCAACTGGAGTATGAACGTATCCGCAGAGAGAAGCTGGAGTGTCAGCTGGATGACAGTCGAGCAGAGATCAGTCACTTGAACCAGTGCCTGGAAAAACTGAAGGTTTCTGATGGCTCAGTGGTGAGTGGGCCCTGCCCGTAAACAGAGGGTTGCCTTTACAAAACGTAAAATACTGCAGATACTGGAAATCTGAGACAAAAACAGAAGTTGCTGGGAACACTCAGCAGGTCAGGCAGCATCTATGGAGAAAGGAAAGTGAGTTAAAGTTTCGGGTCCATGACCCAGTTCTGATGAAGGGTCACGGACCCGAAACGTTGACTCACTTTCCTTTCTCCATAGATGCTGCCTGACCTGCTGAGGGTTGTTTTTACTCCTTGTGTGACATACAAGGCATAGAGTACGGGTTCACTGATAACTTATAACATGGGTATAAATTATAAGTGAACATCCCCGTTGACCGCCTGGCTTCTGTGTGCTGTGTCCACACGCAGGAAGCTAACTAATCCATGTCAGGGGCCAGCAGTGAAGTTAGCAGTCACTTGATGACCTGATAACCTGGAAGCGGGACCTGTGGCAATTTATTTTCATGGCCTTGTTATAATATGGTATCTAATTCGATGGATTCAAAGCATGGGGTCGCCTTGTTTCAAGCAGTTTCAGGTAGCGTTGTGACCATTGGACAATCAAACCAAACCATCCAACCTCTCAAAAGATTCCTTCAACACATCCATCTCATTCCATAATAACCCCAAGTCCTCTTAATTTCCAGGACTTTTGTCTTGGTCCCTTTTAAAACTCTTTGTTTCCTTGTCCTACTATCTGTGCTGGTAGTTTGTCACACTATCACCATTCTATGAAAGACAAGTTACAAACTATTTTAAATTCACAACATAAGTTGAGAACTTCAGTTTTTCGTTTTTTCAGCGACTATTTTTGGGGTCACAAGTGAGGGAAACAGGTGACATAAAAAGGCAGGTAAATTGGTTCAAAATCAGTAACATCGGCATTTGTTTTGGAATTTATCTTGGAACCTTGAAACAATTCAGGCAAAATCTGTTGTGTTAAAGGTAGGTCAGAGAATAAATACCACAGCATGTGGTGTACACAGCGTAACTCACATATTGGTCATTTGTTTCATGGCTGTTTGGGGGACATTGCTGTGTACAATTGGGCTGCCCCATTTGCCTTCAAATACACACCTCACAGTAAATCCCGTAAAAAGCGCGATAGCATGAATCATTTATTATTAATTCCGGTCTGCTCCTTCACTCTCAGATCACCAGTAATAAATGCTCCCAGAACATATCCTGAAGCACATGACACACACACACAGGTGCACCAGCACAGACACGTGTGATCATACTGTTTATGTGTGGAGACCTGATAAAGCAAAAACTATTTTTTGGGAGAAAATTTATGTTTTCTATTCGACTTTCACAAACAGAGTATTTCTGGTAAAAAAAAATCTGTAAAAGTTGACTTCAAAGGCCCCAAAACGACTTACAGTTTGCCTTTGAATTCTTAATTTGAAACTATGCTCTCAAGATTTCCACATGGCAGAGCAAATTATCTTTACCTAAATTGTTTAACCCTTTCATCATTTTAAACACGGCTATCCAGTCACCTCTGTCTTTTTTCAAATGTTAATTGATTTAAGATACTTGCGACTCAAGCACATTTTGTCCTGAAAGAGAGGTTTCTGAGAATAAAAAAAACAACTTGCATTTATATAGCGCCCTTCATGCAGGGTAGCGTCTTGGAGTGCTTAACAATGGTGGAGCCTGACACCGAGTTTGGAAGGAGGTGACCATAGGTACCGTCGAAAATGAAGGTCTTCCGATCTGAAGATGGGCAAGAGGGAAGGCAGAGGGATTGATAATAATAAAAATAATTTGGTCACTCAATCCATGACTGTTTGTGGGACACTGCTGTGCACAATTGGCTGCCACGTTTCACCCACAAAATACAGTCAAAGCGCTTTGAGACATCTGAACGACGTAATAAGGTGCTATATCAAATGCAAGGATTATTATTATCACTGAGGCAGGGGGTTCCAGAGTTTCAAGTCGGAGTGACTGAAAATATGGTTGCTGATGGTGGGACGGAAGGGATTCAGTATGTACAGAAGCTTGGTTCAACAAGATAAAGCTTGCTTCAGTTCAGCACCTTTTTTCTTCTTGTAGGAAGATAATTTCCAAGAGCCAGTTAAAGAGAAGAAAAAGATCAAGAAGAGACAGGTAACCAATGCCGGAGGGGTGTTTATTCGCCGGATCCCAGATAGGAATGTTTTCAAGGGGAAACCTCTCTAACACGGCAGAATCCCTTTCCTCAGGTCTCTGGTAAAGTTATGACATCCAGATCACCTGTGAATAAGTTGCTTTTCTAAATTGTGGCTAATGTCTTTTAGAACCTGAGTCCTCAAACTTATTTCTATATCAGGATATACTACAGGAAAATATACAGAAGGCATTAAAATTTAGCCACATTTTGCATTGACCAAATTTACCAAATGATCACAAACAGGATTTGAAGAACTATTTGCAACTTCTGGTTAGAACTATAGAAAGGAGATTTGCAATATTGCGGAAAATGCAAAGTGGAGAACATGCACGAAGGTGTTTTGCTCTCTAACCTCTTTGTGAAGGAAATGACATCAATGCCACTTGTTGCGCAATGTGCGGACATTTCCTGTGCGCAGTGCACAATGCACAGTTTATATTGTGGCCTCTGCATACAGGCCCAAAGATTGGACCTAGGATTATATGATTGCCCTATTGTAAACATCAATGTCATAATTCGCAGAAATGTGGAGGTTTAATCTGTATGTGATCCATTTCCAAATCAGTTCTTATTTAATGGGCTTTACTAGGCCCAAATTCGACCTACTCAAGTCCTGTAAGACTATTTTTGGATTGCACGAAAATATAGCACATTCTTAAATTCAGCCTTGGTTTAGAAGCTGGTTTTCCATAGCTTTTCCAAATTAACACTAAATTTAAATATGTTGATAGCTATGCACAATCTTAAGACAAAATGGTTTCATAGGCAAAGTCCTTAGTGAAATACCTACTGTTTGGGTTTACTTTGAGGAACATTTGCAAAATAGAATTGCGTCTTAAAATTCAACTTACTGTTTGATTGAAAATGTTTCAAAATGTCAATTTATTATTTATTTCACAAACCAAATATGGCCTATAGGAATGATAATGATTGCTATAATAATTGTCAATGTGTTGTGAATTCTAGTGCTAAATATTACTTGCTGCATTTGATTGTAGTGCAGAAACCCTGCAAGGTTAAGTTGGAGTGACAATCCTTTTTGTCATTAAAATAGAAGATTTGTGATTTCATTTGCACGTTTTGATTAAATGGTCCTGATTCCTTGTAATTCCTTAACTTTGAGCTAAAAGCAGGATTTCTTCATAAGCCTTGAGTTGAAAATAGGAATTCTGACAGGAAAACTGGAGCAGAGTTTCTGTGAGATTGCCTGATGTACTCCTGATTTCCAGAAAAAATGTCCATTGTATCTCAAACTCCCATTAAAACAATCTTGTTTGAAACCACCATGTTGTAGACTGCATTCTTACAATACATTTACTATTCCAACTATAATTTGCTAAGGTGGTCTGTGACCTTAGCTGCAACAAAGGTATTTGCACACGTTGTCATTTTTCACTCTATTCTTAACTTGCTTACTTGCACCAAAATTCTGAGCAGCTTCTCAAGACAAATTTTAGGTACGTCAAAGTTCTTAAATTTTATGCAGCAAGTTATTTTTAACATCACAGCATCAAACTGTTTTTAAATGAATTTAGCACCCTGGGCCCAACCTCCTTTCCTGGTAATCTGTTCCAAATGTTGATTGCGCTCAGGGTAAATAAACATTTTCTGGTGGTGTCCTGAAATTGCTTTTTACAGCCCTAAACAAGCAACAAATTGCATTTACACAGCACCTTTCATTACAGGTCGCTCCAAGACATTAAAGCTAAAATCTAATTTTGCTGTCTCGGTGCAGCTTAAAGTATTGTTCCATGTTTACCTTTTCATTCTTATGTAAAATCTTAATTAACCTGCGGCTGGGACTGTTTTCCTTAGAGCAGAGAAGGTTCAAAGGAGATTTAACAGAGATGTTCAAAATTATGAGCGGTTTTGATAAGCGTAGATAGGGAGAAACTTTCCTCTGGCAGGTGGGTCGGTAACCAGGGGACACAGATGTAAGATAATTGGCAAAAGAATCGGAGGGGAGAAGAGAATTTTTTCTCAGAGAGTTGTTGCGGTCTGGAATGCACTGCCGGAAAGGGTGGTGGAAGCAGATTCAATAATAGCTTTCAAAAGGAAATTGGATAGGTACTTAAAAAGCAAAAAGTTGCAGGGCTGTGGAGTAAGAGCAGGGGATGGGGTGGGAATAGCCGGTAGCTCTTTCAAAGAGCCAGCAAAGGCTCGATGGGCCGAATAGTCTCCTTCTGTGCTGTAATATTCTATGATTCTATGAACCTCTATAAGGTGCCCTCTGAGCCGTCTATTTTTAGGTAAGAGAAGCTCATCCAATCTTTGCTCAAAGCTTGGTTCTGTGAGTCTGATTGATTTTAATCATTGTGGTGTTTTTGGCACAATCTGTACTTCTATAAATAAACATTTTAAAACCTTCTATCGGACAGTGACAAGTTGTACTTTGAATTTTTTCACAGGGAGGGCATTCAGTCTCCATCATTGCATCATCTGGACATCAACTCAGTCCCTTCCTTCATACAAAGAGAAGCTAACAGGCCTCTACAAAATGCACAGTCAATACACTTCACAGTAAAATCCTCTGAATTGCTTTGAGATGCCCTCTAACATTTCAAATGCAAGCATTATTGCTATTATGAATAATAACCTAGATTATTTATCTTAAATCCCAATGTGGCAGTAGGTTAAATCCATAATATTCTAACCCAGAACTGACAGTGTTTCAAATTAAACGAGACAGGTACAATATTCAAACTGTACAATATTTAATTTCACCGCAAAAATCACGACACAGTATGCTGTATACGTCTAATAATAATCCCTCAAGAAAAAAATAAATTGGTCACTTCAATCCATGACTGTTTGTGGGACACTGCTGTGCGCAATTGGCTGCCATGTTTTGCCCACAAATATACAGTCAATTCACTTTACAGTATATTCTGTGAAGCGCTTTGAGACGACTAGAAGACGTGAAAAGTGCTATATCAAATGCAAGGATTATTATTATTATTATTACAAAAGCACTATCAGTATTTCAAAGACCAGTGCCTTCTCCCTTTGAACTAGCCATTATTCTTAAAAGTATTATTATTATTCCTGTACTTCATAGAGAAGAGACATGTTTAGGGCTTCATTCAGTGTTTTCTTGGTTAATGTGCTGAATAGGTGGAGGGGTGAAAATCCTGAAGCCAAATGGTTATGGAGAAAAGGCAGGGTAAAGGGGATTAAAAGATCTTGTCATAATCTATTAAGGAAAAACAGGGCGAGTAGCTGTTCTGTTCCTATTGTTCTAAATCAGTCAGACTTCTCACTTGCTCCTCCTGGTGGCCAGTTATGCCCGACACTGACAGAAGTCTGGTTGGTCAAAACACAAAATACCGCAGATGCTGGAAATCTGAAACAAAAACAGAAGTCGCTGGGAACACTCAGCAGGTCAGGCAGCATCGATGGAGAAAGGAAAATGAGTCAACATTTCGGGTCCATGACCCTTCGTCAGAACAGGGTTGTGGACCCGAAACGTTGACTCACTTTCCTTTCTCCATAGAGGCTGCCTGACCTGCTGAGCGCTCCCAGCGACTTCTGTTTTCGTTTCAGAAGTCTGGTTGGTGCCTGCCTAACCTCAAAGCTTGCTCTGTGGGGATCTGAAGCAGCATTTTAATAAATAGGGCAGTTAGTGCATGCTCGGAACAGAAGATCAGGGGAGATTATATTACATGGCGTGTGTGATGAAGCAGACTCAACGAAACATCCTTCTCCTGTAATTTCCTATGTTCCCATGAAAACACTTATTCAGTATAATATGGAGGGTCAGTAAGTCAATTGTGTCCTGGACAATGCCGAGCATTGTATCTGGTCCCAAGGATTCCCCTTCAAGGTCAAACCGCGATGATTTATTTGCAGAGGCTTTCTTGGTTTGTTGCTGGAGGTCATATTTCATTTGCTATTTCTGCCACATACGGTATAATCCTAATGCTATTGCCAGGCAAGTGAAGACAGATGCTGCAGCAAAATAGAACAGAACAACATGTCATTAAATAAATAGTGATTTGATAGACTCAGAAATAAGCTGTAATTTACATCAACATTTGCAGAGTTGCAAAACATTTATTGAATGGTGTGCATACGATAAGACATAAAAAATGTGGCTTTAACACCCATTTTCTATCCCCAGCAAATAAAGGCAGTTTCTTTTAGCTGTCTGAATACTCTCGCTTTTATAATTGGAGGATGTCTCAACATGCTTCACAGAGTATACTGTAAAGTGTAGTGACTGTGTATTGTGTAGGCGAATGTAGCAGCCCATTTGTGCCCAGCAGGTTTTGGACAATTAATGTGGCTCCCAAGCAAGAAGAGCACATTTATGAAATCCAATTTCACAAAAGTTCAAACACATGTGCAAACAAACACCATGATCCTACCTGCAAGATATCTCACAGTTTCCAGTTTAAGAGATTCCAACATGGTCTTAAGCAAAGCTATATCTGTGTCAATTTTCTTGTTTGTTTCTGCGACGCCAAGGGCTGTGTCTGCATTCTGGAAGTGTATGGAAATGACAGTACATAAAGGAACTGCAATAGTTGACTTACTCCCTGCACGCAATGTTTTGTGTTTCCTAAACATGAGTAGACAATGCCAGTAAAGGTTTAGACACGCTTGCTTACCTCATTGTGTCAGGCAAGAGAATTTAACAATCCCTGGCATTACTAGTGTGCAGTGTCTCAAACCCCTTCATCACTTCCAATGATCACCAAGCTTAAGAGTATCCAAACCAAGCTAGTATTTCCATGTATCCCACCTACACATGGAAATCCCAGAGATACATTGATGGAATGTGCACTCTCTCCCCGAAGGCATGCATCTTGCTTACCTAATTCTGAAAGTATTAGTTGTAGGTTGACAAAAGCCAAGATTTAGGGACCCCAGAATGGGCGTTAACATTTGCATTATATATAAAAGTGAACAATAGTACAATAAAAATTGTATCATGAAACCTTAGTGCTAAATTTATTCTTGACATTCCCAATCATTGCTGGGTCCTCCGTTCCCTGATGACACTTCAGCTTCAAGGTCAAATATTGAAACACGCAGGGATTATTAAACAAAAAGTGTAACCCTGGCAAAAAACATAAACAGAGTTCAACTGGAAAGGACATTCAGTGCTTTGACAATGTCAAAACTGGGGCAGTGTGGAATTGCAGGCTTCTGTACAATTGTGGAACCTTTAGCAGACAGCATCGACCACCCCACTCATCATTCCCTCAGTTTGCCTGGGGGAAGAAGATGTCAGAAATAATCATAGAAAAGAGTCTCCACACTGTCCCTTGTCTGGGCACATCTGCACTCTCTTGACACAAATGTTACAATGCATAGTAAGCACTCTGGCTACTCAGGGACCCAGGTAATGAAAAGATGGCTCATATTTTGATTAAAAGTGAATTTTTCATGACTGACTAAATGCCGAGCTTACATTTCTAATTGCAACATAGAAACAGCTATTGATAACAACTGCTGATTGACAGGAAAAATCTGTGTACACATTCTACTGATAGATCCCTGTCTATACTAGATAAAACGTATAAATAAATACTCACCAATTCAGTAAATTCGGTTTTAGTTGCCATTAACTGCTTTTCTTGGTCTCTAAACTAACAAAAAAAATAGAAATGAGTAATGCATTATGAACGTAGTTGGAACGTAGTAATACTTTACTGAAAAGCTTGGCAGTGAAACACCACATGACATTTTGATGAGAAAAAGGAAGTGAAAAGGAGTCTAGTGATGAGGGCAGAGAGTGAACAGTAACCAGTGACGAGCTGCCAGAGATACATTACCATATCCACAATCCTGCTCTTCTCCAAGTTCAAATCCAGTGTTGTATCAGCTCGCATTTTCTTAACTTCATCCTACAAAACCATGAAGTTGCATCATTGCAGGGGAACTGGGAAAACGTTCACAGAATGGGAATGTTCCACTTCCAACAACCCCTCAAAGTGTCAACTTACCACGAGGTGTCTTTTCACATGTCCCAGTTCAATTTTTATTTTCTAATGAGAAAATTGGAGAAACAAAAATGAAACAAAATATACTAGCAAATGGCATATTAGGAGCAGACCAGGGCGTCACCACAGAACAAGTACAGCTGCTCTTGATTTAACACTTATGTCATAAATAATCTCAAAAGTCTAGGTCAATGAAAATGAGCAGAGAACTGAGATACACGTTACCAGCTGTTTCCTCTGCGTGTTCTCTCAAAAAACATGAACCAGAGCAAAACAACATAATGGCAGTTACTCTTAACATTATGTTTGAAGATGCTAAAGCCTGAATACGGACTTGTTTAAGAAACAGCTTGATACTGTAATGGGAAGACAGGATAATAGGTGTGCTGACAGGTTAAGATCAAATGGGCCAAACCTCTTGGGTAATTTTGTGTGATCTTGTAAACACAATGCTAATTCACTGATAAAAATGCGTAGTATTTTATTTATACTGCCACTAGACGTCTCTGCTTGTTACATACTGCAACACAATGCCAGGATTGCCAATAAGAAAACCAAATACATGAGTGAAGTTTAAGTACTTGAAAGCCTTTCCAAAATCTTATAACTGAAGCATTTTGTTACTCTCTGTACACACTAATGCGAGTTTGATCAAAGTTGTACCTCATTCTCTGTCCTCAGGTTTGAAAATTCACTCTTCTCCAGAATAACCATATCCTTCCTTATAGAGTCTAAATGAGCCATGATTTGCTGTAGCATAATTTCCTGAAATAAATAATATTACAAAACAATTAGGCTTGTTGGTTTTCGATAAGACATGGAGTCCTATAGCGTAGTGGTTAGAGCACTCGCTCTGCAAGTGAGAGGACCTGGGTTCGATTTCTGGCAGGGCGAAATGTTGGGCAAGTTTCCTTACTCCATATGCCTGTTTACTTAGCAGTAAGTAGGAACCCGGTTGTTAGTCGATTGGCAGATCACTTTTCTAGGGGTAATAATCCCTTCAAAATAAATAAATAAATAAATAAATAAATCAATAATAATAATTTGATCACTCAATCCAAGATTGTTTGTGGGACACTGCTTTGTGCAATTGGCTGCTGCGTTTCTCCCACAAAATATACAGCCAATTCTCAATTCACTTTACAGTATATTCTGTGAAGCACTTTGAGACGTCTCGAAGATGTGATAAGGTGCTATATAAAATGCAAGAACTATTATATTATTATTATAGACATCAGTAAACATTTGGCGTTTTTCTGATTTTCTACAATTTTGACAAAAAATAATTTCCATTGATAAGCATAAGGTATGTGTAACCTATTTTTAAGTGTGCGTAAATTAGCTGCCTCGTTCACTCACAAAAAACAGTCACTCCACTTTACAGTATATTCTGTGAAGTGCTTTGGGACTATACCAAACACAAGGATAATTATTGTTATGACTATAAAAATGGCTAAGATAAGAGTCACCATCAACGTTACTTCCTGCATGGTGCTCATGAACTTGAAGTGCCTTGGGAGGCACAGACAGAGATGGTAGGTAGAACGGGAGCAGTGAATGACTAAACATGTTGAAGCCACAAATAAATTAACATTACCTCACTGCAGGGCAAAAATTTCTTTCAATGGAGAGAAAAGGAATAAGAAATAAACAGGAAAGAAAAAAACAGATCTAAAGAACCAAGAGAAACACAGGCATATGGAAATTATTCTCTGGGATGGACATTACGTATACATCCATTGCATTGTGACAGCCTACCTGTTGAGATGCTCTGAGGTAAACACAGAATAATAATAATAATCCTTGCATTTCATATAGCGCTTTTCACGTCTTCTAGACGTTTCAAAGCGCTTCACAGAATACGCTGAAAAGTGAATTGACTGTATATTTTGTGGGCGAAACGTGGCAGTTAATTTTTTTTTAAGAAATGACTACACCTGGAAAAGCAATCCGACAATCGATTGACAACCGGGTTCCTACTTAGTGCTAGGAAAACAGAGGCGTGTGGAGTAAGGAAACTTGCCCACGTTTTGCCCTTCACGTCTTCTCGACGTCTCAAAGAGCTTCACAAAACAGACTGTCAAGTGAATTGACCATATATTTGTGGGCGAAACGCGGCAGCCAATTGCGCACAGCCGTGTCCCACAAACAGTCATGGATTGAAAATGACATAATGAAAATATTATTGTTTTGTTTTGGAGGGATTATTAGTAGGCGTGTGGAGTAAGGAAACTTGCCCAAGGTTTCGCCCTGCCTGGAATTGAACCCGGTATCTCGCTTGCAAGGTGAGTGCTCTAACCACTGAGCTGCAGGACTCCACAACTAATGTTGAAAATTAAAGGAGTAGTATTTACAGCTTTCTCAACAGCTTTTTTTTGGATAATTGCTTCTTATGAAAAGTTCAGAAAATGATAAGAAACCTTTGCATTTGATATAGCGCAATTTATTTATTATGATTATTATTATTATTTGAGTGTGGTACATTGAATGAACTTTGAGTTACGTAGAACTTAATGTTTCTAACCTTATATATTTGAGGAAGAAAGAAGTTTTAACAGTACGGCTTAGAATTCAGATGAGAGATTTGGCTATTCAATCTCTTCATCTCAATACCCATCACAACATCATGCTGGCTCTCAAAACCAAAATTCAATTTTGTGTTTTTGACAGAAAACAGATTGAGTCTGGCCATAAGGTCAGACTGCGGTAAGGACAAAATGTGACTTCTCATGGGTTTACCTGCTGGGGTTTGGTAACCATATCTTTGTACATGGATTCCATATTAGCGCTGGTTAGATTCGCTATTACTGTGACGATCGCTTCAGCTTGCTCTTTCTTAAAACCTGTCAGGAGAAAAGTGCAAGGACAAGTACATCAAACTAAGTACAAAGGAGCCAGATACTTTACAAAAATTATTTCTAACTCTGCTGCATTTTTCCTGCCCCTCCTCCCTGTCCTGTCTCAGTAAAGAGCAGGCAGTAGTTCTCAGCTGCAAACCGCTGACCTCAGTTGCATAATAACAATCATCATATTAATAATAATCCTTACATTTGATGAAGCCTTTCCCAACCATCAAGATATCTTAAAACTCTTCACAGGATTTTACGGCAAACTGCAAACTGTAAAGGAATGTGGCAGAAACCTTGGTTTCACGTCTCATCTGTAAGGACAGCACCTCCAACAATGCAACGCATCCCCCAGTACTGTACCCGAGTGCTAACCTGGACTGTGAGTTCAAAGTCTCAAATTACGGCTTGATGTCACAACCTTGTGACTCAGAGACAAGCAAGCTGATAACTGAGCCAGACTGACACCTAAACCAACCACCAGGGACATAATGGAACTAGATGTTTCTCAATGTGGATATGTGATGGAGAAAAGCAAGAGGGTTCATTCAACACCTTTGGCTAGACTCACACTCAAGACTTACAGAGACAGAACCAGGTCGAGACCTGAGCCTATTGGGTGTAAGTGAACCATCTGAGTGACACTCAACTGGACTGCAATGTTCGTTAGTCTCGAAAGGGGAAAAAAGTCAAAAACAACAAATTAAATTTTAGTTTTGAGTCCCAGCATGAAGATGTGATGGGAATATAGTGTGGTGGGTATTCTGAAAGAAAGAGATTGAAAGGTCAAATTTCTGTTCTGAATCTCTCTAATGATTAATCTGGAATTGACAGTGAAGGAATCGTAGAATCATAGAATTATACAGCACAGAAGGAGGCCATTCGGCCCATTGTTTCTGTGCCGGCTCTTTGAAAAGAGCTATCCAAATCAATCCCACTCCCCCGTTCTCTCCCCATAGCCCTGCAAACTTGTCCTCCCCAAATAATTATTTACTTCTCTCTTAAAAGTTGTTATTGAACTGGCTTCCACCACCCTCTGAGGCAATGCATTCCAGAGCCGAACAACTCGCTGCGTGAAAAAATTCTTCTCGCCTCCCCTCTGTTTCTTTTAACAACTATTTTAAATCAGTGTCTTCGGGTTACCGACCCACCCGCCAGTGGAGAGAGCTAAAGAGCTAACAGTGAATGTGACGCACTGCTAAGCTTCCTGCTCACCATTTGCTTGCAGCTCCAGGACCAGGACATGAGTGTCAAAAAACGCCTTCCTCTGCTCCGGGGAAGTTATTTCCACTCTTCTTGAATTGTAAGATTGGGACACTCCAGTTGTGAAGAAACCTGTAAATGCACAGAGGGCAATCAGTTTGGCCCAGATCAGTTCATTGAAGCAAAACTACAGCCTAAATTTGCCCTTCTGTAAATTTCCAAATTGTAAACGCCACAAGCCTGTGTTTTATTTTAAAAATGCTAAACCCTATTATCCTTGCATTTATAATAGTGATAATAATCCTTGCTTTTGATATAGCGCCTTAACACGTTGTTGAGACATATCAAAGCATTTCACAGAATGTACTGTAAAGTGTATTGACTGTATATTTTGTGGGCAAAACACGGCAGCCAATTACGCACAGCAGTGTCGCAAACACAGTTTATTATTTATTTCTTATTATTTAATAATTTTCATCAGCAGCAAACCAAACTTCAGATTTCGAACCATTAATCCCTCTGTCCATTCCTCCCCTTCCTCTGAGTGGTGGTCTCGGTAGTCCGGTTCCTGAGCCAGCTGGTTCCGCAGTACTCCAGGACACTGATGATGACAGCCCAGCCAGCCTGGCTCATTGGGAGGGCTTGGAGGGATAGAACTGGGGACAGGAATTCTTCACACTGAATTTCTGTTAACCCTGAAAGCCAAAGCCCTAATGGCTAGGGTGGTCCTAACTGGACTAACATTGAGAAGCTTACCAGCTTCAATGGCAAGCTATGCAGTTGCAGCTGGTTAGACTCCAGCAATAGCCCAACACACACTCTGGGGTCCCTAAGCCTTGGCTCTTGTCAACCTGTGCTAAAGCAGGACATGTCCCTCCAGGGAGAGTGTGCGTTATTCATAATAATAAGCCTTGCATTTGATATAGAGCCTTATTACATCTTCTAGACATCTCAAAGTGCTTCACAGAATATACTGTAAAGTGAATTGACTGTATATTTTGTGGGCGAAATAGGATTTTATTCCAAACACACTGAGCCAACCAAAACAAAACCAGATCATTTCTTCTCCCCCTCACTCTCTTGCCTTCACTCTTACCCGGCTCGTCGGGCTCCACCACTGTTAAGCGCTCCGAGTCGCTACCCTGCGCGGAGGAGCGCTAGAGAAGTGCAAGTTGTTGCCGTTGTTACCCTATACATTCCGCTGTGATTTGGACTTAGCAAAGCTGTGCCCAAAGGGTCCTGGAAGCCTATATCACAGCCCAGTTGCAGAGCAGGAGACCAGACTCAAACCCAGCCAATAGATTGAGAGGCTGTGAGGTGTTGACTTCAGAGCAAGTTCAGAGCAAATAGTTTACAGTAGTTGGAAAAGATTGGTTTAAATCCGATGTGTGAGCCTGAACCTGTCCAGGTGGAGTGTTGGCGATATTTATTCCTGATTAATAATAATAATAATAATCCTTGCATTTGATATAGCGCTTTTCACGTCGGGAGGACGTCCGAAAGCGCTTCACAGAACACACTGTAAAGTGAATTGACTGTATATTTGTGGGCGAACGCGGCAGCCAATTGCACACAGCAATGTCCCACAAACAGTCATAGATTGAAAATGACCAATTTATTATTGTTTTTGGTTTTGGAGGGATTATTATTAGGCTCTGTGTGGAGTAAGGAAACTTGCCCAAGGTTTCGCCCTCTGCCTGGAATTGAACTCAGGTCTCTCACTTGCAAAGCGAGTGCTCTAACCACTGAGCTACAGGACTCCAAAATTGATTGAAGGCTTACCTCGTTTTAACCCAGTCCCTGGGCTGTGGGTTGCAGGGCTCTGTGGGGCAGTGTTGTAGTTTGTGTGTAGCAAAGCTCTGCAACATTGTATTGCTGATCGCCTCATGTCGTCCCCTGGCTTCCTCTCTGTCTGTCTATCTGTCTGTCTGTCTGTCTGTCTGGCTGTCTGTCTGGCTGTCCTGCTGAATGATGTTAGAAACGTGTCAGACTGTCAGTGCTTCTCTGTTTTCAGTCCAAGTGGAACCACTTTAAAGGACCCCTCTCCTCCCCCCCCCCACACACACACACTCCCATACTTGTTACTATGTCATTTCCACCTCGGAAATCACAAGAGGCTCCAGGAACCCACAGCATCGCCCTCTGGACTGGAGTCCAAACTGCTACAATCCAGCAAGTTCAGAGCAAATAGTCAGACACGCTATCTATCTATCTATCTATCTATCTATCTATCTATCTATCTATCTATCTATCTATCTATCTATCTATCTATCTATCTATCTATCTATCTATCTATCTATCTATCTATCTATCTATCTATCTATCTATCTGTCTGTCTGTCTATCTGTCTATCTGTCTGTCTGTCTATCTGTCTATCTGTCTATCTGTCTATCTGTCTATCTGTCTGTCTATCTTCTGTCTGTCTGTCTGTCTGTCTGTCTGTCTGTCTGTCTATCTATCTATCTATCTATCTATCTATCTATCTATCTATCTATCTATCTATCTATCTATCTATCTATCTATCTATCTATCTATATTTCAAATAGTCAATCATATTTCTTGTAGTTTTGCTTCCCCCTCAGCCCTCACCCCATTGCTGCCCCACTTGGCTCAGGTGTCAGCCTGGCTCAGTTGCTTGAAACCACAACCTTGTGACTAACTGAGCCAGGCTGACACGTACTCTCCTGCTAACTCAACTGACATTTTGCTTGGATTCCTCTTTCTGCTTCCTGCAAAATGCTCTTTTCCTTCTTAATTCCCCTAATAGTATTGTAACAAACTATCCAGCGACTAAGCCATGAAGCCCCTGTAATGAACCTGGAGAAAGGGGAAAGCTTGGGTCGTGTAAAAACGGACTCAATGCCAGGCCACGCTCTTCGCTCTGGGATTGCAGGAAGCCACTGTCTCTGCTGGGTCAGCACGAACTACAATAAAAACAGATTTTATACAGTTGTACTTCACGCGGGGTAGCGTCTTGGAGCACTGAAAGCAATAAAGGAATAAAGGAAGTCTACGGCTGGAAGCACGACTTTTGAGTATAGTGCCTGATGTCACTTAATAACTGAGTGAGAGTGAATTGTAAGGGATGGTTGCAAGACAAGAGCTTTGAAACCCATGTGCTTCACTCCTCTGGGTCTGTTAGAGGGACCAAGTCTTGTCTGTCCCTGTTAGGGCCATTGAAAGTTTTTCTCAGTGTTAATAAAACACTTTATTCATAACCCACTGTCTCAATGTGTGATCAGAATCTGTCTGTCTCTGGGGTCCTCAGCCATGTGTATTACAGTCGAGTAAACCCCTGGACTCCAGGTATCCGAATTTTCAGCACTGAAAAAAGCTGGTGGCAAAAAATGCCGTTAAATGCCGGTACCAGCATTGCAATTACACTTAGCCGGAAATTCTGGCTCACCATAACGCAATCCCCCCACCCATTAGTCCAGCTAGCCAGGGCTTTATTGTCCTTCAAACTGATTCCCTGATCCTATCATCACTGAGACTTCATATATGCTTCCAGCAGAGGTCACTAGATAGCAGAACTCCACAGCGGGAACAATGGCTGTATCTTTCCCTTCCTAATGTAGGAAAACTTTAGCCAATTGTAATCACAAGATCACAAGATTGATTCAGATGAGGAATGGCCTTCGCCCCATCTGATCTCAACTCTCTAGAATATTCACTCCATCGTCCCCTCATCACCGCATCAAGCTGCTTTTTGAACGAGTCCAGTGTCTTGGTCTCAATCATTCGTGGAGTCCTGTAGCTCAGTAGTTACAGCACTCGCCTCTCAAGTGAGAGACCTGGGTTTGATTCCCGGCAAGGCGGAATGTTGGGCAAGTTTCCTTACTCCACACGCCTCTGTTTACCCAGCAGTAAATAGGAACCCAGTTGTTAGTTGATTGGCGGATTGCTTTTCTGGGGGTAATAATTCCTTCAAAAAAAAAATAAATTCAATCCATGACTGTTTCTGGGACACTACTGTGTGCAACTGGCTGCCGCACTTTGCCCACAAAATATACAGCCAACTCACCTTACAGTTTATTCTGTGAAGGCTCCTGATGTGAAACTCAAATTGCTCTTTGAGATGTTGGGTCGTTCGCCTGATGTGAAACTTCACATCAAACTCCTCCTGACATGAAAGACGCTTTACAAATGTACTTTTGTTGTTGTTGTTGTTGTTGTTATCAATGATAGGTTATATATAGGGTGGTATTGGAGCAGCTTGGGAACGAGTCCATGGTGTTGGGAAAGTAACATGGAAAATAACAACTTATATAACTGGGGAGAAAATTGAACAACAGCTTATATTTGCACAACACTTTTCAATTAGGGTAACAGCTCGGAATGTTTTAGATGGATGCGTTGGACTGTGAGCTATAAGGAGGGGGAAGGAAGATGTGGACTTAGGTATGATCAGAGAGGTAGGAACAGAAAAACAGATGGGGGCGGGGCGTTTGGGGAGATGAAGGGGTAGAGGGAAAGAGCTCCAGAGATTAGGGCGTAGGATTTGAAAGCTCAGCTTCTGATGGTGGCTTAGAGAGAATGAAGGACATGTAACAAGCTTGAGTTAGTTGAGGGGTAGGAGCATAGGAGCAGAGTAGAAGATCGAAGAGATAAGAAGGTGCAAGAACGTTCACCTCCCCTCTCCCCTCTCGACTCTCTACCCCCTCCTCGCTCCCTCCATTCCCTTCCCTCACCCTGACCATTTCCCCCCTGGTCGGGTCCCGACCCAACTGTCCAGCGCCTCGGGACATCCTCCCGACGTGAAAGGCGCTCTAAAATGCAATCTTGCTGTTGTTGTTGTTGTGGAGGGATTTGTAGTCGTTCGATCTAGGCTTAAATTTATTCTATTTACATAGCATTTCAGAGTCCAGAATTGTTGAATATAGTCTTAACTTTGTAGGTATTAAAAGAGCGTGGAGAAAACTGGCTTCAAAATTATGGTTGCATTTAAAAAATAGCTATTTTCAATTTATAAAACTAAAAAGTGTGCAAGGGGCACTGAGAGTTGCATGTATGATTTTTTTTGTATGGGAGCACACTCTAGGGGGAGGAGTATTTGAATGTATTTGTTTTGATTGTGATTGTTTAAAACTGAATATGCTGGAAATGTTGGTTTAATAAAATGCAACAATACAATGTTACCTGCTAGGTGGCGTGCTCGTGTGCACTCCCATGCCTGATGTTTGTTGTGAGATCCATGTTTGTTACAATAACACTTGGGTTGCTTCAATATGTGGTGCATGTTCTATTTTTCACTGGATTTACAGAACAATAGGTTATTTAGAAAGATAAAGCTATTTCTGTGTGGATGATCATGTGGGGGTGTGTGTTTGTATGTGGGTATGGACTTATTCCACTTGAGAAGATGTGTGAATAAGGCCAAGGAATTCTTGTTTCTGTCTTATAATAATATTTCTCTGAAGTCTGCTTTATCTTCTTGAAACATTAAACCGAGTTCCCATCCGCCTGTTCTGGTGGATGTTAAAGATCCTGTGGCACTAATGGAAACGAGAAGGGAGTTTCTTCTGGTGTCCTGGTCAACCACTCCCTAAATAAAATTGCTCATTCACTTCATGGCTGTTTGTGGGACATTGCTGTGAGCAAATTGGCTTCAGCATTCTCCCACAAAATAAACAGGCGCTTAACTTTACAGTATATTTACCTGTGTGTATGATGGAGTCATCAGAACTCAGAAGGTTTCAGGGGTTCACAAACACTCTTGTCCAGTGTCATGGAGTGCTGTACTGTATTGGTTAGTGTGCTTGCCTCACAAGCGAGAAGACCTGGATTTGGTTCCTGCGCAGGGCAAAACGTTAGGCAAGTTTTCTTACTCCACACGCCTAAGTTTACCTAACAGTAAGTAGGAATCCGGATGTTAGTCGATTGCAGATCGCTTTTCCAGGGGTAATAAACCCTTCAAAAAATAAATAAATAAAAATAATAATTTGGTCACTCAATCCAAACTGTTTGTGGGACACTGCTGTGCACAATTGTCTTCCGAATTTCACCCACACAATACACAGTGTGTATATATATATTCTGTGTATATAGTATATTCTGTGAAGCGCTTTGAGACTCTTGAAGTTGTGATCAGATACTATATCAAATGCAAAGGTTATTAATATTATTATATCCCGTGAAGCACTTTGAGATGCCCTGTTGACACGAAAGCCTCTGTATCAAATGCAAAGATTATTGTTACATTAACCCATAGGAAAATTCTGGCCTCTTTGGACTAATCTTTTTTAAGCTATTAGCAACATAATATTGTAACAAAATTACTCAAATGTCAGTAACAGTTTTATTTCTGTAATGTTATTCCTAGATTGCCACAATTGTTAGAAAGCTTTAACACTGTTTTGGGTACACAACCTTTTATAAATGCAACTTGAAGAGCTTCTGAGGGATGAGTTACCTTGACTAGAGCTCTGGAAACTGTATTAAGTTTGGACAATATCATATATATGTAGTATAATATCATACGTTTTGTATCTCAGGATATATTTACATTATTTTATTTATTTTGGGGGCAGAACAACACCAGAGCTATATATAAGGAGTGGTGACTCTCAATTTGAATCCAGTGGTTGCTTGAAGAAACAACAAGCAGACAAATTCTCTACAGATATTCAGTAGCTTCTGTTCAACAGAGAGATAATGAGCTGGGATAGGATGAATCCTGTTACCTTTTTTACTTTTTTATTATATAAATGTGCTCAACATACCCCTACAAAATAGACAGTCACTACATTTCACAATACTGTATACAATACTTGTATGCAAAACTAGGAATATCAATTGGAATTCAACTACAAAATACTAACTCACTACGCTTTAGAGTAAATCCTGTGAAGCGCTTTGAGACATCCTCCCGACATGAAAAGCGCTATATCAAAAGCGAGGATTATTTAAAGTAATAGTACAAATCTGTTGCTTGCTACCTCTGATCCGTCATGTGTTCAGTTCCTTTGACCATTTGCCAATTGGCAATTCAGCTCAAAACATGTTCCTGCTGGTGGCTGTCAATTGAATGCATGAATAATGAGAAACAGTTAAAAAGT